GTCCAAGCATGAAGAGGCAACAGACAGACATCCAAAAAGACAAGCAGACAGACACATTTTCGCATATACAATATTAGTATGGATGGGGTTCGTAGTTGGAAAGTAATTAAAGGGAAATTACTTTTATTTTTGTAATCATTTGTTAATTTTAACAAAGGGAAAAAATATATTCGTTAAATTTATAGAAACACCAACTAAAGCATAAAGTTTCTTTAGGTGGTGTGAAAATGACATGTGATTTTTCCTTTGGGCTTTGTTTCTTTTCTTTTTTGGTGAGATATCGTCCAATCAACCAGGCAATTGCACAGCGACGTAGTTATGTCAATGTAACAGAATAACCGACTTGAAAAAAAAGGATGTTCTCAATTTATCGTTTTAATTTTGTATTACCTGTTACCAATTTTATTTTAATCTGCGTACAATAGTGATCTAGTAGAAAGTATGTAACCCTATATCCATATTATTAAATATTTGCTAACAATTTCACATGATAACCTTATAGGATAATTTAATAAAAAATATTTTATTTCTTGCAAGATTGATATTAAAAAAATCATGAAATAAATTTGATTCAATTTTATACTGTTAAAAAATAAACACCAGGAATTGCCGCTCTCTTATTTCCTATATTTACGTAGGTATGTATCTCTTCCGATCTATGATCAATCATTTACAATAATCATCTCCTATCAAATACTCCGATCAAAGTACGAATATAAATAATGATCTAACCTAGGATTATATCTTAGCGTCGTATTAATAATACCTCGAACTTGGATTTCCCATACTAAATGATATTTGCATTTAGTCTTCCGCCAGATGTTTATAATAAATAAACAAACAAGCTGTACTCGTATGTGTAGGTAAAGACAGTGGTGGCATGATGTGACTAATAGTTATGACCTTTTTCTGATTAACGTACACACCGTCTTAGTTTCTTCATACTACCTACCGAGGCTCAATATTAAGACGCAATACTGTCAGTAGGAAGACGAGTAGTTTATCAATCTATTGATAGTTCTCACCCTTTTTAGATAGTTTGGGACGTTTTTTTTTTCAGGGCTCGAAGTAATTGTTCATATGCTTGTTTTAAAAATCTCCAACATCATAGGTAAAGCCCTATTATTAACGCTTCATCTTCCGTCCGGGGTAAGCAAAGACATTAAGTTAATTACTACTCCTAATTACTGACAACGCCTTTTTTCGCCTCTACGCATCTCAAAAATTGTGAGTCTTTCTGGGCCTGATCATACCGACTCGTCCACTCACAGAGGCCTTATAAATTCGTTTAGCCATACATATACACTCTGTGTTTTAATATGTCAAAACAACCGCAGATTTTTTTTTCTGAAAAGCGTTTACACCGTTAGATAGCATTAAACTAAACAATGGAACTCTAATAGTTACTTTATGCAGATAATTTTGTCAAGAAACGCGGCACGCCCAAAAACGTCGGGGCATTCAAATCACGACACAGGCCATTCCCATGATATAACACGTGCGACATTCAAAGTTTTGAGCTAAAAGCTTAATTTTTTACTGTAAAACACAACATTAGTTGAATAACTTAGACATTATGGTTTAACTTGTGGATAATTTCGGACTTTAGATGTGCATCAAACTTTTTATACGACAGCATTATATAATTAAATATTTGTGTGTTATTATTATTTTTTACCTTAACTTATTGTTACATTAACGGAAATTGATATGTAAGCATTTTTACACGTTTTATATCAGTTAGTATAACATGTATCTACCATGTGTCTACCTTAAAAAATCTTTCTACGCAATTTTCACCATTTCAGGACAATCGATTGAAATCTTGAACGTACCCAAATAACCGTTTTACATTTACAAATTTGTGGTATGTGACATCACATTTTACTAATAGTTACTATTAAACTAAGTTATAAAACATACAGTACAGTACAGTCCGTGTGGTGACGGATTAAGAATACAAATTGTCACCACCCCAATTCATCCCGTGGGTGTCGTAAGAGCCGACTGAGGGAGCAGACTAAGCAGGACAACAGCACTGCAAAGAGAAGGAAAACTTAAAACAAACCCTGTACCAACCCGTCTGGCCAGCGTGGTATAGTAGGCCAAAAACCTCCTTTCTAAGGAGAGGCCTATGTACAGCAGTGGACTAGTATAGGCTGTTGATGTTGATGATAAAACATACTATTAAAAATATACTTACAGCACCCCGCGCTTTTTAAACGATGGAAGAGTCATACATGGGTACATATAGATATTTGTCGGCTATTACTGAGCGAGTGAGGAACTAAACTCTCTGTTTCCCCCTAATCTGGCGGGAAGCAATTAGATGACCCGTGTGCTCTTTCAAATGACATTAAAAAAAGCTTTACGTTTTACTTCAGTTTGCTAAGGAGCTTACTAGCTAGTCAAACCTAAAAATACTAATAAATTTTAAATTTGACTGACTAAATTATTTATTTTTATTATGTGCGTGTAAAGCTTTATCAAGACTTATAAATAATTAGAGACGATATAAGTAAGGCTTGCTGTTCTAGGTGTCGTCGTTTTACAAAAAATTAAAATACGTGTCACAAAATACTTAGGATTTTTTACTTTAAATTGTAAACAACATGTATACCTAACATTTAAATACAGACTTGTACTAAGTGATAGCGTTGAGATTAACGTCTCATTTCTTTTATGTCTGGCGTTTCAAAGTTATTAGGTTAAATATAATAGATGTCTAAGAAAAATATGGTAATAATATGAATATAATATTATGTTTATTACTTAGTCAAATTAAAGACTTCTTAAATTAAGAAAAGAGAAATCGTTAAAGAAGCAAAGGATTTGGTTATTTGTTTATTTTTACACTTTTTTTTACAACCAACATTTGTTTACACTTAACGTTACAATAAACAGTTTACTTACATACTTAAGCTAGCGTCTTACAATCTCTTATAAGAGATTGTAACACGGTGTGCATGCGGTGCTGACCTATGGGCACACCGCACACCGCATGTTATTAAATGTCATTGCCAATTAATATATACAGGGTTACTGGGTCATCATCATCATCATCAGCCTATCGCAGTCCACTGCTGCACATAGGCTTCTCCCATTGCACACCACTTAGATCGATTTTGGGCTTCTCGCATCCAGCTCCTGCCAGCCATCTTGCGAAGATGACGAAAAAGGCAACGAGATAATTCAACGATTTAGATTGGTTTCAACAACTTCAACCAATATTGTTGCCCTAGAACTAAGACTCAGACGCATACTTTTTTTTGGCGTCATCAAATCGTTGGGCAATTATGCAGAAACATCTCGAAAAAAGTTTAGTACTGAATAAAAGTGTCTGATACCAGACGTACAAGAGCTGATATGACTGAGGTTTGACAGAAGGTTAGGAGAGTTTCCAGAAAGCTTTGCAGTTTGTGGATTGCGATGAGACTCAGACATCGCAAGCGATTCACGAGGCTCGATGTCAAAAAGAACATGTAGTAATAGCAATATTTTTGGCGGCAATACTGGATCAAGTCAGTGGTGTCAGTATATCTTATACTTACTTACTATCTTACAAAAACCAACTATTGAACTTTGATTGCAGTCGATATTTTAAAATCGAGAACTATTTGGCCATTACGAGATAAAAGCAAGAAGAAGCATCTGCAGAAGAAGTGGTGATCAGAGGCAAAGATAAGTTAAAGATTGAAACATATTTGCCTCTAAACATGCTGTTTGAATTTCAAACAGATTTAATGAAAAAAATATCATGACACCGTGAGACGGTCTCATCTCATCTACTATACCTAATGACACTAAGATCATCACTTATCTATAAATTATAATCACTAAGATCTGCAGTAGAAGTAAGCCCAAATATAAAACTTTTTCTGTAAGTTCCTGAGGACTTAGGTATCAGCTAGGTGATTCTGCTAATGCTATTTATTTTTAGTTATTACTCACAACCCTTCATCGAGCTTCAAAGAGCTGATAACCTTGAAACGGGTAAAAAGGGCTCCGAAGATTGCATTGCCTAAGGGCCCAGACAAGTGTAATACGGCCCTGTCGATCTCCACATGGGACAACACTTTGTGTGATCCACAAATTGTTGTTCAAAGTCTGGGTGTTCCATGTACCTGTTTCAGGTATGTTTCTAAATTCCCTAAGATATGATATATTCATAGTGCGAGCACTGTTACATTGGTTGTCAATAAAGGGTTATTAAATTCATTGGTTTGCGTTCTTTAAAAACTAAAACACAGCAAACCTAATTAAAAAATATTACGACGTGCAAGGGATAAATCTTTATTCTATACACATGGATGTGCAGAATGGCAGATTGTTTTAACAGATCGTTGCTCTGAATCCATCGCTAGCATACGTACGTCGTACATACGTAAATTTATTTAAATGACTCTCAATATAATGTTAAAGTTTCAAAGCTTAAGACTGGTCTATTTATCAAAGATTTAAGTACAAAATAACGTGCTTATGACAACTTTTTATCATACTAGATATGTAGGTATAACTTTTGTCTATATCTTCGATCGAGAAAATATACTTTTACATATGAAAGGTAACTGCTATGTACTTCTCTGTATCCCATACAAAGTGTATGGAAAGTTTCGTGATGATCCAGCGAACGGTATGGCAGCGAATGCTAAACCAACGTAATATATGTATTTATTTTTATTAAAGAGAATGAATATATTGTTTTATTTCTATGACCAGGTTAATTTGAACTATCATTGTATAGGCTTTCTGTACCGTTACAAATGAAAATAAATGTAACCGTTTTACATCATTTTAAACCAAATTTTGTATGAAGAAAAAGAATATGTAACACAACATGGGATATGCTACGCCCTTTATTTTAATAAGGGGTGCAAGAAATGTTCTTCACGTGTCAATATATAGATTTTAGATTAAAAGAGTCCTCATTTCTCATCAATACAACCACAGTGTGCCACAGCGAAGATGGTTTACTTATAAAATATGTATTTTGTCTGCAGGAAAATGAGGAGGACGTAGGCGACCTGTATCAGGATGAGGAAAATGGTGCCGCGCTGCTCATTAGAAGACATCCAAAACATGGTAGACTTGTTGTGGTAAGTTCCTCTCATTATATATCACTAATTTAAAAGAAAGTACTTATAAGGTTAAAAATATAGTTTTATTTTCTAACACTAAAGTCATGGATGGAAAAGTGAAGATGGCAATAGGCTTGTCAGCTATTAAGAAGTGGTACTAAAATTGTAGTCGACAAATTCGTCACCTCTGTGTACGGATATAAAAGACAAGTGTATACCAAGTTGTCAAGGTAGAACGTATCCTACGTGATATTATTTATTATTGCAGTCCCATCAAAGAGTGTTTGGTCTTCTTTATGGAGACAAACATAGAGCTCTAGCGACATTGATCTTCAGCACTAAGAGAAGGTAATAAGTTTTAAGGGATGATTCTAAGACTTTTTATTGGTTCATTCAATTCACTCGTTCGTTCATTCAATGGCTTTTCTTTGCTAACGCTTAAGTATAAATTGATAAGAACAATATTGGCCAATGTCTACTATGAGATAATCTTACTGCATAAAAATAAATATCTTACACAAAAGGGCCTTAACACGATTGCTAAGCTATGCGTGTCAAGAATGAATGAATTATAACAACTCGGTGTCGTAATATTTGGCGTCATTTGCATAAAACGTCACAGTTTAGACAGGATGTGACATGTCTGAATTTCGAACACGTTCCAATGTCAGTGAGCGACTAACCATAAACAAGATTAGGAACGTGACCAGTGGTTTGTAATTAGGAGAAAAATATATAGACTTTGTAGATAAGTTTTATTTATAGAAGTGGTTATGCGAAATTTAAAAAGTAATCCTGTTTGTAGTTAATTGAATCTTGTTTTCTGTGACCAACGGATTAAAACAAAATCTTCTACCTATCTTAGTAATTTGCAACGTTTATCAAATTTTTCGGAAGTTTCGGATGAATTTATTTTGGTGTCAGAAAATTTTATCGCTTCTAGGATTGGTAGCAGTTAATTAAATGGATTCACTACAACAATGTTGATACTATTATTTGATATAACACTATTTCATAGTTTAATAATTAAATAAAAAAAAAAACATAGTCTTATTTTCTTAATAGTAATTATTAGAACAGCTTCAAAATATACTTAATTAATATAGATATATATATAATACATAATATGTACAAACACGAGTATGTGTCAGCGACCCCGGCCAGTGCAATCTAGTCGAAACGTCAGGCAAGTCAATGGTGTATAAACCTTTTACTTGATCATGCTAATTCCCATGTATGAACACAATTGTATATCATAGCATGAGAAAGTTTAAAAGTTAGCTACAAAAACAGCAAAGTAAAGCTAGTTTACGCTTTTATATCTTTCGTTTAGTACTTAGTTTTAAACCTTTAACTTGTATCAAAAGTGTATATCTAGCGTGCTGTACTGTGAGACCATAGACACAATGGCGTTACAAATAAGACTAAGGTCGATTGCCCAACAGCCAGCGCCGACGTTCTATGTAGGTGTGAATAAAACGAGGTTTTATATGGCCATTTACGCTTTAAGAGGTGGGCAAATAATATTTTATAAACGCATTGCGACTCGAAGGATTGATAAGATAGTCAGTCCATTATGTTCTAAGATTCATGTTTTATTACCAGGTATCTCCTGTATCACTTCTTGTCAAGCTGTTCTGCCTATAACAGGCATTATTTTTATTATGTAAAAATTTGTGCCAATGTTATCCACGCCCTAAATTTTTTTTTTTCACTGCCATTTAATATGAAATCTAATAAAAGTTGTACTAGGAAGGTACATTACAAAAGTATTTACACAAAAGATTTTATTTTAGCCTTTGAAGTTTTATATATGTCAAATTTCGCATCTTGGATTAGTAAAATCTCGCCTATTAGTCTATGATACGTAATTAAAAATTAAGCTGATCCTCTATACAATAGTTTCTTTACGTGTTTGTAATGCTTGCCTTAAAAACTAAATCATCAACAACAATGTATTGATCGTAGTTATGATTATGATATCCAAGTTTTCCTTGTGAATTATACAATAACATGGCCACTTATGTGCAACGGTATAATTTGATCTTTTTACAACGTATACTCATGATAATATATTTTCTATGGACAAAACGTTATTGAACTAGCTTTTGCCCGCGACTTCGTCCGCGTGGTGGTTGACATCAGACGTCGTAAATTCGTCTTTTTAAGGGTAGTTTAAAAAAATTAGTAACAACGTTTTTGATTACGTTTAATAAATAATACTTACTGTGAATTTGAAAATCCTACTATCAATAATATCGAAATTTCATATAAATTTCCAACCCCCATTTTACAACTTCAGAGATGGAATTTCTGAAAATCCTTTCTTAGTGCTAAATTTCATGTTTTAGACCCAGCGGTTTCGGTTGTGCGTTGATCGGTCAATCAGTCTGTCAGTTTCTTCTTTTTTAATTATAGTTATAAAAATAAATTTGACTATCTTTTTTTTTTAACTGATAACTAAGTACATAATTGAAGGTTTAAGTTACATACATTTTCCCGCCAAAATTAGTGTTTTCTAACGGCAAACTCAAATTCATGTTGACATTTTAGTTAAGGACAAAATTAACTATTGTTTTATTGATCCTAAACTAATTAATGTTACTATTGTTCAACAGGAGGGTTCCATTGGACATGACTTAGTGATAAGGCCCATCCCGGACTCAATGACCACGGCTGCGCAGGACGACGAGATGTTCATGGACCCTTCCAGCATGGGTGATATGGTATCTATAGATACAGGACTGCCTCTTGGTAAGTTTATGTACCTATGAAATGACGAAACGACTTATGAATTATTATCTGATGCATACTAGTCTAGTAAACCTTTTATATTACATAAACAAGGAATACTAGAGAACCTGTTACACGATCATCAGTTGTAAGGTATTATAAATAAGGGTCGTGTAACAGATTATTTTTTAAATTGTTCAGTAAGACGAATAAAGCCTGAATGTTTACTATGATACTCAGTAGCAATAGTCAAATTAATTGTACAAGTAGTCCTAGCAACTTTCCCGCTTATGACTTAGAACCCCTACGATAACCGAGTTTTTGCGAGAGAAAAATATATTAAGCTTCTGCCGAGTACACATTGTCAACAAATCATGTTTGTGAATCTAATTATAAATTTCTGAACTGAATAAATGAAAATAATTTTAGCTTATCTTCCTGAGATTTTTGTTTGAACTAGGTAGGTCGGTTTAAGTCTACTACTATACACCTGAGTTTCAATTTTTTAAGCGAAGCTACTTTTCTATTAGACCTCCATTAGACCTCCACAACCCAAGTACTAGGCGATATCGACGTTCTGTAGGGTCTCAGGGCTCCAACTACTCGTAACGATTGCCACAAATGTTCATATGGCAACCGGGAATGACGGCTTAATGTGCTCTTCGAGGCACGGAGGGGTCGATAATTTCAGTTAGTATGGGTTAGTTAGCTTATTCCTATATTTCCTTAAAAACAATATAATTATAGGAAAAACAAGCTGTCATTTGTACTCATAATTGCAACAATCTTCACGATCATTACGCACCTTATCCAGTGACTCGTATCCGGTGTAAATAAGTGTAGACCCTACAATCGTAATTATGGTCTTCAATCAATGGTTTAGTAATTAGTTTCCTTAGTTGGCTAATGCAGCAATAATACATATAAAAAGTATTTTAATAATAACCTTCTATATTTGTTTTGTTAAATGCAAAAATAAATATTAATTTTCAAACTTAGTGATAAGTTGTGCTAATGTGTGGAAGGTCTTGCGTCATTTACGGGAAGCAACCGACCATTGACTAATGAGCAATACAATAACTCACGTTATTAATCGTTAATGGTTATCAGATGCATTAGTTTATACACTTTATATACACATATGATGAAACTTATAGCCTAAACTATTATACTTCCTAGACATGGGACAAATACACAGTGAACTCTGACTTATCATTAGATTTTTCGGTATGTAGGTTAGGGTTGCTAGGTAGGTAGGTCAGACCGCTATTAAACAGTAAATCTAGTATTTTTTTAATTATGATGTAGGGAATGGTAGCTTTACACTATAAAATATTTACTAAATTTACAATTAAAAAGGCGAAATTAGGCGTTGGCGTTAGGCGTTTTTATGCATCGTCTGAAAACAGCTTATTGGCAACAACGCGTGAGTAAGTAGTAGCTTGCCACATTTTACTAATATGTACCACATATTAGTAACCTACTTACGAAAAAATCGAATGATAAATCACCGTTCACTCAAAGTTCACTGTGTGTTCAATTTTGTCCCATGTCTAGTACTTCCGAAGTTTCCATAATATAATGAGTTCAAAGAGTTAATAGATTCTGAAAACGTACTTTTTTCAAATTTTGTAGTGAGTGTGAAATTTGGTCACTTCGGGTAACTTTGCACTCATTATGTTATTTATATTAGTAATTAAATAAGTATTTGTTATTATTTCAGTAAAGAGAAAAAGTGAAGATAAAAGCACGTTACAGCGCGCTTTGAATGGGGCACACCATGTAATTATCAAAAGGGAACCCACAGAGCACGACCACTTAAGCGATTACGGTAAGTAAAATATCTATTGACTATGATGCCGTGACGGTTGCCTAACAAACTTTTAATATCAAGCCTTCATAGGTACACACACCTACTCTCAGGACATGTAATAGGTAAGAGGTTAGTAATTCACATTCCAAATGAAAGGTTAAAAGTCTTATACGGCAATTTCATCAAAAGTTAAAGGAAAACCCCTAAAATTCCAAAATTGCACACAATATGCATTAAAGCTCACTTTAAAATTTGTAGCGTGAATCGTAATGTGAAATTAATTTCTCCCAATGTGAAAGATTAGGTTTTTCACAAGGATGTTTTAATTTACGGATAACTTCTTAATTCAAAGTTCAAAAAGAATTTAAGTGTTAATTAATATACAAATAATAAACTAGGTTGTTAGATATGTATGTATATACTAAATAACTATGAATGTTTCCTAACAGATAATGACATAATTTTGACGTCACTGGCGAGTATAATTTATTCTGTAAATTGTTGTTAAATTAACGTTTTTTTCTTGTGATAAAAATGTGTTTTAAGTTGTTTTCGGTATCTAAAATATTTTCTTTATTATATTTAGTAAGAATTTTCTACATATTTTATAAATGATACTTAAGAGGTCCTATATTATCAAGTTGACCTCTAAAACCAATAATAGCTATTTTTTACATAAATATTGCCATTTTTATTTATGACACGGCACGACTTGTGCTTTTGCCACATGTTCCCATATCAAAATATTCTACACAATAAAGAAAATATTACAATATAATTTATGTTAACAATAGCGTCAACACTAACAATATTGAATGATCATTTATTATCTATGATCGATACGACACGTGTCTGCGACATCGACAAGTCACGTGCGTTCGCACCTACCAATTACATTATCTCTGTTAATCGATTATGATAATTATTTTACCGGTTTTAGAATGCCAACACGTATCTCTCTTTAAAGTTTTCTTTCTTGAATAGGGTGCTACTGTTAAATTTAATCATCGATGTCATTATTGTATTAGGTTGGGATTTTGTACACACATACACTTTCAATGAAAGTGTATGTGTCCACAAATATTATGAATCTGCCATTCTATCTTGGTTCCGTAGCAAACATCCATTAATCTTAACTTCCGCTTTAAGAGTAGTTATAAGAGTACCAGTAGTTGTTCAGTTTATTCCTTTTATTTAAACCGTAAACATCATAAACATAACTTAGTCATAAATTATAGTTAATATAACTATAAATTACATCTTACCTACTATATAGTTTTAATAATAATAATTTCATATTCGATTTTGGCTGTTAAACGATCTATTAAATCCAGTAGGTTAGAGGTCAAAAACATCCATCGTAAATATGTAATAATATGTCATTTTTTAATTTCAATAATGCATAATATTAGATTCCGTTAACAATGATAATAATATGTAAAAGGACAAAGGGCTTTCAACTCTGATCTTACGTCACCTCAGAACCTTGAGTTTATTATTCATTTATTAGGTAATAATTAGGACATGGGTTCAGAAATTGTCTCAATCCAAATCAAACTCTTAGCATTTTGAGATTGGTTATAAATAATCCAAACATCAAAGTATGTAACAGCAAGTTAATGTTAAGTTAACATTCTTTTAAAGTTTTTATAAAGAAAAAATTGCAGTCACTTTACAAAACAGGTGGATTTCACTGCATGAAAGTTACGATTTTACTAAAATACTAATTACATTACGATATTTATATACAAACAAATTAGGTACAAAAATTATAAAAGTCAAGATAAAAAAAGTATTTATGTAAAAACGACAAAAATTGGAAAAATCTAACTAAACAGAAATGTATCCAACAAAACAAAGTTTAATATCTAAAAGCAACTAACCATACATGTTAAGCGTAAATATGAAGTTTCATCTTTTCTGTATTTTATATTCGAGAAGATCAATAGATTTAACTTGTACCATATTTAATAAATATATAGGGTAGGTATTAAGTCCTGCACATAAAATTAATCAAAAATATTAATATTCCTCTTAATTTTTTAAACTAAGCCCGACACGTTTGCCAGAGGTGGGTTTACATGAGTACCACAGACTTATAAGAAGAAGACTTCTTCTTATAGGTCTGTGATCAGTACCGACACAACTTTTACTATCTTGTTCCTAGTTGCGTTACCAAATTCCAGATTGTCTTGTAGGGCGTAGCGGCTTTCTGGGCTAACTAAAAACACACGCAATTATAAAATTGTGTGTGACTCTTATAGTAGAACTGAATTTTTGCTGCTAAGGATTGTAAAAGCTGTCTTTGAGCTTTTTTTAGGTGTTAGAGCTTATTAAAGACGTCCGTAGACTACTACATATATTTTTTATAACATCACACCCACTCACAGCTTATACGCAGGTGTTTTATTTACTAAAATTAATGGGCCAATACAGTTACATGAATTAATATACATACATATAAGATTTTTTCACGATCTTATCACAAAATAGTGGCGACGTCATTAACATATTTAGACCATTATTTATAATAATAGTATTTGATTATTAATGGTACAGCTGTCGGGTAAAATTGATATGTACACGTGATTAGCTGATTACTGACAATGCAATAGGTACCTAGGTACCTACAAACTTATGACAGCTTCAGAAATTGAGATTCAATAATAAATTGAGACAAGATAAACACGAAACTGGTTACAAAATGTCAGATAGCATAAACATAATATTTTATTATCAAACGTTTTGCGATCATTGTCTAGCACTTATATAGGAAGGCAGATTAACACCGTTTTATACCTCAATAAAATCTTCAGTCTCGAGTGTCCGCAAACCAAATATTCGTTTAGGTATTATGTTAAGGAGATTAACTTTCAATATTCTGAGGGCTTGTCAAAATAAATTATATAACATTAGCAAACTGGGTGACTTTGTTTTATAGGATACCGTTCGCTGAAACAGGTGACTTATTTCCTTTGTTTTTGTTCAGGATAGGAACAAATCTTAATTTTGTTTGCCTTCAATTTGTCTACTTCTAATACTATTAACTTTTAAGTACGCAAATTAAACAAATGCTTAATGATTAATTTATGCATACATTAGCTAAATTATAATTACAAATTGTCGGATTTGAATTAATTAATAATTACTATTTATAAAAAAAAGCATAACGTATTGTGTTTTTGGTTTAAAATCTTGTTTTTCTAACAAGAAACGGTATTGCGTCTTGTGACCGGGGTCGTAAGGTTAGAGTATGACGTCATAATTTATTTTAATTTAACGATAAGAAAAAGTTTATAATAGTAATTCGTCGGGTCTTGAATAATCTTTAATCAGGAAAAACCGATTGTTAGTTGTTATATATTATTATGTATGTAGGTATCCACACAGGTGCACACTAGACCAGTTAGTAACGAAACGTTTAGTCGATTTTATACTAAGGAATTCTTACTAAGTATATATATATAACATCGATTAAGGATCGATAATAAATTTAATTCAAATTGGCAATTATTATGTTCTTGATAAAATGATATACGTTTAAAAATTTAACAAAATGAACATAATTTATCACTTAAGCATACAAACTTTAACTTAGAGGTGCTCTATAAATATTCAATTAATTTAAGTTGTAAGTCCTTAGAGGACTTACATGAATCATAAAAGAAACGGATACCATGGATGGATGGTACTCATATAATAGTAATTAACATTATTTTTTACAAAGAAACTCCAAAACAACTTCTAACAACTAGGTACCTACATTCTAGGTAGTTAAATTTATTATGTTAAGGACGTGCGTATTTTTCTATTGTTTTAAGGTTTTTTATACCGCATTATTCTTCTTTACGTGGTTAAATTACGGTCTGCATCTAAACTACTTTTAAATATTCTACATAGTTTTGTAATGACCTCAACAAAATCCTTTTTTAAGGTCTCGATTACTACATTAAACTCAATGTAAACTATACCCATTGGCTAGATTGAGAGGCAAAAACTTAATGAGAAGCATAGACAGACTAACTAAACAACATTAAACTTAATAACTTTCCCGAAGCCCGATCTTTCGGCGCCTATATCATGATAAATTCAAAAACGGTGTTTTTATACTTTTTTTGAAGGTGTTTCTTTTTTTTTTAATTTTAATCGAATGAATTTTGAGTCTTAACTACAAATTGCAAAAAGTGATAGAAATCGGTTAAAAATTTTCGAAGCTACTTGTACTAGTACCTTGTAACATCCACAGAAATAAAACATTTAAGTCATCATAAGAATGTCTTAGAATTCATAAAATAAACAAAAAACAAAGCCAGGCCTCCTTAGCGGTTATGCTACATGATGGTTTTAATATTTTAGCTTTGTTTTTGTCACGTGTACCCGAGGTGGAGTGTCATAATCTTTTGAATGCGCATTGTCATTATACTATACTTTTGAAGCGGATCTAGAATCACAAACCATAAAAAAACTAATTAAAACAATGACCATCATTGTGTATATATTTACTTGAAAATGTTCTTCATTTTTTTAACAAGTAGGTGCGAATCATCATCGCATCATCAACAGTCTTCAATATTCCACTGCTGGACTAGGCCTCTCCTTAGAAAGGAGGTTTTGGCTTACTATACCACACTGGCCAGACGGATTGGTATAGGGTTTGTGTCAAGTTATCCTTCTCTTTGCCGTGCTGTTGTCTTGCGTAGTTTTTTCCCGTAGTCGGCTCTTACGACAGCCACGGGATGAATAGAGGTGGTGACACTCCGTATTCTTAATCCGTCACCACATAGATAGATACACTATAGGAACGACTCAGTTATTTGTGTGATTTATTGAAATATTTCGGATGGAAGATGGAATGGATTAAGGATGGAAGAAGGGTCCGAAGCAAATGAGAAGTCGGAAAACATTTTTAAGTCGCCTTTAGATATCTGTACTCGTGCCTATTCAAAATAATATTAGAGTCGTGATAAAGTATAAACTTATAGGCAATACCTATTTACCTACTAAAGTTCCAAAAATTGGAATTAGTCACATTGATCGGCAATAAAAACAAAAATAGGCACCTACTCTTTGGAAATATATTTACATTAGTTTTATTTATGATATAAAACACAAATTTATTGATATGAACACTTTTTTATATGATTTTATAATGTCATCTATGTGTCATGATGAACTGGTACTACTTCTGATGAATGAAAACTGAACTGAGCAATAGATACCTACCTACTGTTATTATAAATGCGAAAGCTTGAATGTATTATTGTTTGTATTGATTGTTTGTGCGTGAGTCACATGGAACATGCTGAATGCTTCTAAATAAAACTTGACATAATGATAAATTATAACCTCAAACATCACATAAGCTTCTTTTTATCAGAGAGAAATAACACCCGCCAAGGGCAAACGCTATTAGACAATTTGTTTTTTATTTTATTTATAGCATTCATGGAGCCCGATCACCTCGGCAAACGCTTTAGAAGAAAACGCTCAACAGAGGCGCACTCTAGGCAGAAGCGGGAAGCACCTTACGTCATCTATCCAGAAATTCTCGTGATCGTTGATTACGATGGCTACAGGTATGAATTTTGATTATACTAAGACACGCCTAAACTTGAGTTTTTAGAGAGAGATATCTAATGCTATAAGGGTTGAGAAAAATGAGCTTTGAGTTGGGAACTCGAACCCCAAATCAAAGCTGGTGAACCTTTAAAGCTCGAGCTCTAAGCGCTTGCGAGTCCTAAAGGTCCTTCTCTTTAGGGCTCTTGAAGCCCTAAAGAGAAGGCTAGAGTCAAAAATCAAAATTCATTTATTTAGCAATCTATCATATTCCGTTTCATCAGATTATTTTAGTCAATGTTTATGTTCATAACTTATATCTGTCTGTATGATTATACAGGAAACGTGATTCGGTGTTTTATTTGCTTTATTGTGCAACCGGAAATTATAGACATCACAGATGAAGTAGATACATAAATATATATGCGGTATATGCCTTTTGGGCCTAAAACCAAAAACGTACTTATGTGGTAGAAAAAAGAAAAAGAAACTATTTCTTAAAAATATTTTTTGTCTATACCAGCGACTAGTGTTCTTAGTGAACAAGCTTTTCGAGGTCTAGTAATTTCATTATTAAAATAGAAACAGACTGAGCAATAAAAACACCATGGCAACAATGTTATCTTCGTGGTTCAAAATCTTACAAAAATAAATATTGCTACTATTACACATCCTGATCTTTTTGCAATAAATGTATTTTTATCCTGTGGACTTATTCTTTTATTAAAAAAAAAATGGTTTATTTTAATTTACTATACATTTTATTTGCACAACGGAGTACTGTCATGAGGCTTAAAGGCAGAACTCGAGCTTCGACTCGAACTTAGCATAGAGGCAGACGGCTCAAGTCGCAACTAGAGCCCTATACACAAGGTTCGCCTTGTATAAAGGGCGTGAGTCGCGACTCGAGCTGTGAATATAAGTTTCGAGGCCAAAGCTCGAGCCTAGCAGGCTAAGAAGGGTTGTCTTTAATGAAGTTAAGGCTCGGAGGCTCGAGTTTTTCAATAACACTAAATTTTCAATTTCATAAGGTTCACATCAACAGCATTTAATAGTTCACTGCTGGACATAAGCCGAGAGGCTTAGAAAGGAGGTTCATAAAATAATAGTCTGTAAACTGTGGGTGCTTAATATGCCCCTGTTTACCTTTACCTTTCGATTACACTGTATAAGATTAGTATTCGCTCACTGGTCGTAATTCTAAAGGTCTCCAGTAAACTTACTCACTCGATACAAAGCAACGAAAGAACTGTTTAACACCAGTTTCCTGTGAGGCCGTGGTATTAACAAAGTAGAGCCGGTCCATTGAGTCGAAGCATGTTTTTTTTTTAAATTTATTCAACACTTATGTAAGTACAACATAATCGATTCTCCCATGGTAATAGAGATAGGCACTATAATTTCTTATTACTATTAACAGGTTACATGGAGGTGACAACGTGCAGATCAAGCGGTACTTCGTGTCATTCTGGAATGGCGTTGATCTTCGGTACAAACTGCTCAAAGGGCCCAGAATACGGATATCCATTGCGGGTATCATTATTTCTAGAGTAAGTTTAGTGTTTAGGCAAATATATTCCTATTTTCACAGAAATATGGGGGATTTTTAGCTGATATAATGTGGATTTTTTTTGAGAAAATGGAGAGAATTACAAAAGGAATAAAGTAGTTCCCCACTAAAAAGTTTCTAAAAGGTTGTGACAGATTTATGTAAGGTGTCTGACCTTACAAAGTCAGTGTTTACTATACAACCAAAGCTATGCTGTGTAGGTAAAACAAAAATAATACTAATTACTTCATCAATTCATTTTTATTTACTAATTAATATACATTAATTACTTTAATACTTAGCTATTATATTCATGAAGTTAATCAACAAGTTGTTAGCTTAAACTTGACCATTTCATCGGTTTCAATACAGAGTTCTTCTAGGAATGTCTTCTTGGACTTTGGATAGCCCTCCAAAATTGCTTCAAGCATATCATTGCAAGTACTTTTGCGTTTTCTGAAATCAATACCTCACTTTAATGTCAATATTTTATGATAATTTTAATTCCAAACATTGTTGATATAAATGGATATAGAGACAATTTTTGAAATAAGAAATATTCCTAAAGCTGGTCAAATAAATAATGCAGATTAATTGACCAAAATGGTTTTTGTTCCAAAATCATTGTGTTCAGGCAATGAAAAAGGATTTTTACTCAGTATAATAAATTTGTGTTTTCTAGAAAGATACTTAATTTTAATACAGATCACTTTTGGATAGTTAAGCATCAATATTCAATATTTCAATTTTGGCCCGTTTAATCCAAATATATCCAAATTACCTATATTCTCTTAATAATTTCTCATGCTCTTCAAGTAGAATTTTCTTTTCTTCAGCACTTATCACTTCAGTTGAGTTCCTTAACAGTTCCAATTTTTCTTCATAAGTCTGTGTTCTCTTTTTGATCTCATCTATTTGTACTTTAGCTGTATCAGTAGTTGGTGTAGATGTAAGAACTTTCAAATTTCCTTCTGCAGTTTTCAAAGCAATACTCTTTTCTGACAATTCTTGTGTGACTTGTTTTATTTTTGTATCATAATCTAAAAAAGATAATTATTTAAATGTCTACTTAAAAAAATATGGCTAACTTTGGCAACATAGCAAAAGTATTTATTTAAGTCATTTATCTATAATAATGATTTAAATGATTAGAACAGGAAGGAAGTACAAAAGAAATATTTACATTCAATTTATCTTATGTACTTTATTGCAGTATTCTGTGTTTATAGGTGTCAAAAAATAATTAAAAGAAACAAACCTTCTGCATCACTATCGTCTACAACATTATCCAACTGTACAGCGGCATAAACTTTTTGTTTTCCATACAATTTACACTTTATTTTTCCTGATTCACTCAAAGCATCTAAAGTTTTCTGTATAACACCTTTAGTAAAGGCTCCACGTAAATTAACCGTCACATCCGCACATGAGTATGGCCTATTAGTATCTACTAAGTATTTTAAAACTGCTTCTGAAGCCATATTACAAAATGTTAATCACACAAAAAGTTCAAAAAACTTTTTAAAAGCCCGCCATTATTTTCAACGTTTCATTTGACGTTTCTTTTTTTGTTTTAAAGCTGGAAGCTAGGGTTCAAACATTTTCTAGTATAAAAAAAAACAATTAAAATACCTCATTTTAAAGTACTATTTACAGCTAATATAACGCAATCAACTTTAGCTGCATTATTATCATAGAGTAAATTATTATAAAAATAAATATGACTTACGCACGTACGTTGAACACACTTTAACCATAGAGTTTGGCAATACATCGGAAAAAGAATGCCATAACGTATATATATAAGAACAAATAGTTCCACTAAACTGTCTATACCTACTTATAATCATCAAAATATAAATATAATATGTTAATGTAGGCACTAAAATGAGAAAGCTTAATTGGCTCCACCATGGAATCAATTTGTATAAATTTAGAATACCTGCAACATTATTTTAAGAGATCAATGGTAGTTAATTGATTTCTAAAGTATGTATTTATTAGAAAACCTAATCTAAATCTAAAGTATGTATTTATTAAGAAACAAAACCAGTTTTGTTACCAACTTGCGAAATTAAATAATCTGATTATTCAAGGTTAGGAAAGTTACCAAAGCTATGACTCTGTGACCTTTATGCCTAAGTCACACTGTAGTCTCCTTGAATGATCTTAAAGACCTGTATTGTTAAGATATTAATGAAGTGTTTAAACTGACAATTTTTGACTAGGTGCACCCGTGTGCATACATAGAGAGATACCCACATGTATACAAATAAATAAAATTGTAATGTCAAAATAATAGGTTTTTTTCATGCTCACAGGGTTATTTGCACGATACCTATGCCTAAAATCCAGTTTAAATATTTTTGTCTGTCTGTTTGTTCCGGGTAATCTGACAAAACGGCTGGACTGATTTTAGGTAGCTTAGGTAGCTGTCTATATAAGCAGTAACATAGGCTCTTGTCAGAGAAAAATCCCTATAAAATTCTGCCCGATCAGGAAATCCAACCAGAGGCCTCATACTACTGCACCATTAACGCAGCGCTTTTTAAATTCCACGCGAACGAATAAATACGAGAGTGAATTTTGTTTGCTTGTTTGTTATGCTTTCACGCCATAACGTCTCAATCAATATAAAATTGCATGCATACACTGACAGGTAAGTACTTTTCATCCTGAAAAAGGGACCGATTCCCGAAGAACAGAAAAACTAATTTTACGCCAACGAAACCACAGGCGAAAGCTAATAAGATATAAAGACATGTTCTTTTGCATTAATTTGTTTTTTTATTCTAGGGTCGAGATGCTACTCCATATTTAGAAAGAAATCGGGTCGGGCGCGATGCTATTGACTCTGCGGCAGCGCTCACTGACATGGGCAAGTATCTGTTCAGAGAACGACGACTGCCTGTATACGATATTGCCGTTGCCATTACAAAGTGAGTGAACAATTTTATATATATTATCATTGAAGTGATGCCAATATTTTTGATATTATGAATCTAGCTAGCGTAACTATCTACGCAATTATATTTTAATTATAATTTATTTTGAAGTAAAAAGTACTGTGATGATAAAAAGTAAAAAGCTAAATTGTCTGTAACTTCCTAAAACATTTATAATATACACTTAGTAAGTAAATAATATAAAAAGTAGATAACTTAGTAAGTATAATAAAATTGCTAGAACACACAAATGTTGTGAGCAAGACACATTTTGAAAACTTTAATTTTATGTCAATAAATTATATTTAAATTAATTTATAAAATTTAAATTATAAAATTAATAATAGAAAACATATCATTCGAAATATGCCGAATACAATATAATGTCTAGCAATATTAGAATAGATATTCAAATTGTGCAAAAAAGCTTCAGCTATATTTAAAGTATACATTACAAAACAAACTTTACGATAAAATTTATTCGATTTTACTTTTCAAAGTGACAAAATCATAATAAAATGTTGCATACGCAATCATCGGCCATGAACCTGTTATTTGACAATTTCTTAGAACTTGTCTTAACTTATTTATTGTATTGTGTCGACGTATATTTATAAAACTGTATGAAGCATGGACTCACCACTATTAATTTTATTTTTTGTCTACGCTACATTATGAAGTCAAGTTACAATGGTAAGTGTAGTCAAGCTTCACTAGCTTTTAGGTGTGGGTTGTTACGTGAGTTATACGAAACGTAACGTAACTAGTTTCTTATGAGCCGTCACTAGTTTGAAAAACGCGTGATTTTCGTCTCTAGTTTACCTAGCTTGTCTTAAGTTTCAGCTAAACATCAGTAAAATGTTAAAAATTACTAGCTTTGTCTGGGTGCATTAAATGTATGGTCCTTTAATTGGTTTATTTTATTATTGTTGTATTGTACTATTATGTTAGGATAATCTCTTGAGGGATAAATACTTATTTTTCTATTGGTAGTAGACCGACACTTGCGTCTCCAGAATTAATCATAAACCTGTTTGCGATTATTTGGAAACTCTGCCTATTCACCTGTCCATCATATATTATGTATTTTACATGGCACATTTTATAATTATAATTATGATTGTGAAAGAAACTACATGTGCATCACGCAACGAATTAATATTAGCATGTGCCTAAGAAAACTTAAAACTTTGCTAGAGTTACACCATAACAAGACAAGGTCCTCTGAATTTCTAATAGGTACTAATAAGATAGCTAGGTGTTGAGAATTGTAGCAAATTAATAATGTGGTTACAAACCACACTAGTTTTAATTTAAATTGCAACTACTTATTCAGTTATTACGACAACAGACGGATTAAGATACGGAGTGTCACCACCCCTATTCATCCCATGGGTGTCGTAAGAGCCGACTAAGGGAGCAAACTACACAGAACAATAGAACAAGCAAAGAGAAGGTAAACTTGAGACACACCCTATATCAACCCGTCTGGCCAGCGTGGTATAGTAGGCCAAAACCTTTTTTCTAAGGAGAGGCCTATGTCCAGCAGTGGACTAGTAAAGGATGATTCATGTTATGTTATTTTCTGTAGCTAGTGACGTAAAATAACGCCCACTTCAACTAGCTTTAATTTAGCGCCATTATTAAACAAAATGATGAGGTATTTCTTTTAATTTGTAAGTCAAGTCAAGGTGAAGATCAAGACTTTATTTTGAAGACGCCAAAACTAATTTGACCAACAGGTACGACATGTGCCGTCGACGCAAGGGTGGTCGCTGTACAAAAGGCACCGCTGGTAAATTAAATTTTAAAACCACGTTCTTATAGGATGGTGTTTACAATCGGCGCGGCATTAACAGAGGCTTACAAGTGAAATAATAATTTTGCTTCATTATTTTATATTTATGAGGTAAAGGATTTTGGTAATGGCGCTGAATATGTCTTACAAAAATTTTACACTGTTAGTCGCTTGCACAAGATGATGTTCTCTTGGTAAGAAGTTTTGACGGTTTGTTTCGTGACGTACCATGAAATGAAGTAAACCCAGCATTTAAAAACTCAACGATCTTAGAATTATGTAGAAGGATTGGGTTTTATACAGTATCTTATTGAGTTTTGTTCTTTCCATACAATTTCAGACTAGACATGTGCAGAAGACAATATCCGAACGATGCGTGCAATAGAGGGACAGCAGGTAGGCGTGTTACAGAGATCTTATGTTTTCAAAAAGCACGCCTTTTTCATCAAAGTCCCTCACCTGTTTGTTCACTTTTATTCACAATGGAATCCACCATAATCCACTTGATTTTACCTTTACCTATATCCGTGATGTCATATTCGCACCTTGTGAATAATATTCTGTCTTTTTCTGCATCTATTTCTTCTAGATAGTCTGTATTTTTTTATCATTTTAGACATTTAGATGATGTTGTAAATATATCTTCATTTTCTTCGTTATTTGTATTTAGTCTTCTCCAGTATTATATGAAACTATTTGTTCATCTTTAGGATCTAGGTACCATTGCTTCTTCAGTAGTAATAGTGATAGCGTTTATATTCTTATCAATGTATTATTTTTTAGATTCTATCTATCAGAGTTCATCACCATATAAAATGGCCTAAGAGTACGTAAAATAATAAAGTTATAAATTAGGCATGGAACTGCTTCCTTGATCTCTTCATGTATTGCATTGTAACGTGGAGAGAAATAATGAAAACATCTAATGCATTTACTTATCGATAGCTTACAATATCTAATTCGCTTCACTATTAATTCTGTCAAAATTATGTTTAGTATATTTAAATCTCACTATATCGAAGTTACTAACTATTAAGTATCGAATATTCTTTATTTGTATTTCTATTGGTATATTTTATCTGTCTAAATATTTTTATATTTTAACACGCATGTACCAATATAATTATATGGTGTAACTCAACTTAACGGGAATTCTTATATAAACGCATGTGTATATTTGTAAATAGTTACCTTTTTTGTACATATCATAGTAACGAACAAAACTATTTATAAATATGAGTAGAATAGTATCTTTGCTTCTGCATGCTGGCGTTTGAATGTGTATTAATATTTATTGATATTTGCACACTGCTCACTGTAGTAAGTACTTACTTACTTATTTTATATATTATTAAATTAGTATCTACCTACTTATGCCATACCTCGAATCATGGATCAACATATTGTAAGTAATATAATAATAAATTACCTATTTCCATCCACAAATCCTCAGTCCTACGACCGAGCTCACTATTTTGACACTATAATGTGGTATACATAATGTGAGTGTATTTCCCAACTCTCAGAATTGTAACGTTCGCTCATTTGAATTTTTTTCTCTCTTTCTTATACATAACAATTCAATGAAAAAAATGCATACTAATATTCATGAAAATAATAGATAATCTGACATTTTTAATACTATTTTTATTTATACCATAAACAAAAAGTAAACCAATCTCACACGTAATTTAAAATATTAAGGGTTCGCGTACGTCGGCGGCGCTTGTGTCGTGAATAAAAGATTAGAAAAAGTAAACTCAGTTGCTATCATTGAAGACACTGGCGGTTTCTCTGGAATCATTGTTGCTGCTCATGAAGTTGGACATTTGTAAGTCTTTAATCGATATCTATCCTTATTTTCCTACAGTATACATAAGTACCTACTGTTATTAAGAGTTTAGAGGCCTATACTTACATATTTCTACCAGATGAAGTCAACGCGCCCCTTATACAAAAGCCTAGAAATTGATTCATTTATACAATTTTATTTGGCGCCCACCATGGGACCAATCAATGCTATATTAATAATTTTAATATTACACCTATACATAAAAACCTTTTCAAAAGACAGGCTTTTATATATTTTAAAGTTGTTATATATTAATTTTATATTTTGTTTAAATTTGTGATTTTATTTCTATTTTCAAGATTAGGGGCTGTTCACGACGGTAGCCCCCCTCCATCATACTTAGGCGGTCCAGGCGCAGAAAAGTGTCGGTGGGAGGATGGTTTCATCATGTCCGACTTAAGACACACAGAGAAGGGCTTTAGATGGTCACCTTGCAGCGTTCAGAGCTTCCATCATTTTTTGAAGTAAATATGGTGCTATCCTATGTACATTTTTTTTAATTCCTGCGGGTAGAGGCCGGACTCAGAAGTGCGGCCTCTACCAGCAATAACAGTATCGTGTAGTAGACCTTCTTGGATGGGTGGGTTTGTCCTCTACTTCGGCAGTATTTAGAATATGGTAACATGCGAGATACTGTTTCGCCATTTATCCGAGGGTTTTTAACTATTGTAAGGGTCTGTAGGTTGCTGAACGGTCAATTTGTCCTATTTGTAGATGTGGTCCAAAGATGATATGATAAACTTTACTTCATACTTACTTACTTTCATACTTCTTTAAACAATAACACATGGAAAATTAAATAAAAATTATTTATTTTGCAGTGGGGACACAGCGACGTGTTTATATAACTCTCCACATGAAGATGACTCGTTACCACGTGTACTGCCGGGACGACTGCTGACATTAGATGCACAATGTCGAAAGGACAGAGGCACAAGGTATGAAATAAACAGTTATTAAATTCTAATGACAATGTATGGTCTTAGTTTTTACATTTTTCAATTCTGCTAAGTATGTGATGTAGTAAATATACCAATTATCTGAACTCAGAACTGGCTCATAACTTTTATAGATTGAAGTACATCGACTTTAAGTTTATCACTCACTATTTCAAAACTTACATTTTAAATGGTTTTATAAGCCGTTACAATTTCAAAAATAAGAATATTTATAGATGAATGTGCGAAGATGAGTAGAGTTTTTGACTTCTTGTAATTTTTGCAGCGCATGTTTCAAAGATGAGCGCGTTTGCGCTCAGCTATTTTGTTTCGATGCCGCAAGCGGTTATTGCGTAGCTTACAGACCCGCCGCTGAAGGATCGCCCTGTGGGGACGGACAGGTATTGAAAAATATGTATTTATTATTTTACTTTGTTTGTGACAAGTGCTAATCGTTATTAGCTTATCAATCGTTATTAACTTATTAATTTACAGTTTTGCATCTACAAACAGTTAGTAAAGAAACAAAACAAAATTAAAATTCTTTAATAGTTCCATTATGAAATATATCATTTTTACGAATAAAAAATTATTAACGTTGGTTTTATTTCTTTTGGGATTGTAAGTATTGGGGTTTGTTAAGTTTCTAAGACCACGGCTGTGCACACAGCTTTATACCGCATTCAAATTCTAAATATTCTAAAATGTATATGTATTTCCAGTACTGTATAAACGGCCGGTGTATAACAGAACACGAAAATATAATACCGGATTATTCACAACACACGCCGAGCTACGTTCGCCCAGAAACGAGTCCGTTCTACGGAAACATTACTAGGTGTGTATTAGACATATCGCATGTCTAAAATTACGTATTTCCAGCTCTAGCAGTTCTCCGTCCTTATCCTGACTAAGCCTGAGAGAAAGGGAGAGGAAATATTTTATTTATGCCATATGAAATTGACTGTGTAATATTTTAAATACTAGTGTGTATAATTTATTCCTAAAATACATAGATACCCCAAAATAATAAATTACTAATAACATTTACCATTACTTAATCAATAAGTTACAACTTGAATTTAAGGAATTATTTTATATCATTTTTGTAAATATTGAGTATTGCTCTTTTTACTCCTATAAGGCAAATTTTATTATTGTATGATAATTCTGCACGTCATGCAGTTAGCACTAATAAACTGAAGTATTTCACAATACTGACACAGAAGTGGGCACCAAACATGTTCTCACTTCTGTCAGTGTGGCACATACAATGGGCACACTAGACTAATTTTAAATATATTTTCCAACACATAGTAACGATGGAACAACACAGGCTTACGTGGCTAGCTCAACGACGCCATATCCAGTCAAAAAGACTACAGCATACACAACAACATCAACAACAACAACAACTACTACTACTACTACCACAGAGAACCCATTCTTCGCTTTTACAAGAAAATATCCGTTTAAAACAAAATCATCTACTACGCCTAGTACTACATCTACAAGTTCCACTACTAAGGTCACACATCCGCCGCCAGTTAACAAATACTCAATCACATCAACAAGAAGTCCTTACGATTTCAAAGATTTCACAACGAGACCTACCAACAACACGGATAAAAGAGGGTTCTATTCTAAAGAAGACTTTGATAGCTTTTTCCGAAGGTCTACTACTAAAAGCCCATATCAAGACAAAGTCATGAAGCCTCTGTTTAAGATAGGGACATATTACTCACAACCAAAGGCACAGGATAACTCTATAAGGCCAGACGCAAATTCTCAGCAAGTTCAAATAGAACCAGCGAGGTTAGTTTTCTCGTATCACAGAAACTTGACAAGCGGAGCAAATACTCGACAGTAGTTTGATTATTGGTAAGAATGGACGAAGATCAATCTATCATGTTTTGCACCGATCTTCTCACATAGTCATACATGACCACATCTGGAGATGCCACCTTTTTTTAGATAACATTTTAGATGAAAGAAAATAGTAAATTAAATTTATGTACTAATAATAATCAATCAATCAACCTAGTACAGTCCAGTGCTGGACGTAGGCTTCTCCCAATGTGCGCCATAGCACCCGGTCCTCCGCTTTCCGCATACAGCCTATCCAAGCTTTTACTTAAATGTTATAATAAAGAACATTTTTAAAACCTTTATTAATTCGAATTATAATTAATTGCCATTGTTGTTTTGTTTTACTATTTTTTTAAGAAATTTAATAAGTATAAATTAGCTTTTTGTAATAGGCCATAATAAGCAGGTGGCAACTCTAATCACGTATTTTACCGAAATTTCAGTGTCATGGGTGAAGTCATATATTCTTTCACATAATAACAAATTTCAGAATTACAATTAGAATCGTTAAAGTACTCCTAAATTTTTTAATCGTTGACCTTAGAAGTTTCATAGAAGTTGACCCATCAATAAAGAAAACATATATATATTGAAACCTTAAATCTTATTAAATTCACACATTCCGATTCACGAACTAAACATTTTCGAAATCCTTTACCTACCATACCAATATTTTATATCTACACACATACCTACTATTCTTTACAACTACCTACTTCAAACGATCAACTCATTTATCAACCCCATCGGATACCGCCCTATGACTTTTTTATCAGTAAATGCGCTGACTTCGAAACCGTACTATCTGGTGGGGTGATCCGGGGTTACACTGCCATTGTACCATGTATATACTCTACATACCTATACATCTCTGAGTTTATGTGCTCTATTTTTATTATTCTAAATCTTATTTCATCAGTAAAAACCTACTTTTTTTACTGAGTTCTAATAAAACTTATACTATGTTCTTGAATGTAACTATTTAATTTTAATACGTGTGTTGTATGTATATTCATATTTCATGTACTTGTTCTGTTCTTTTGCACCTACATGCATTGTCATTTTTGTGTTTTGTGGTACGAAATTTATTCTGTATATTTGGTTAATCTATTTCATTTTTGAGACCTTTCAAAATTAAATCAATTAAGGCCAATTAAAACCAAGATAGTTTAAATTTCGTATCAAACAACAAAAAACTTGTTTCAACAATAATGTACTTATATGTTTTTGTTTTCAGCAGCCGCCATTAATTATTAGTGTGGGCCGAGCCTTGAAGACTGTCACAGCTGGAGAACGCGACTTCCCAAGATGACTCATCGAGACCACGTTTAGGTCAAATGACCCTACGTAGTCCCCGCATGCGTCAAAATACATAGGGCAGTCCCGACCCAGTCTTTATATAACAGATTGCGAAGCGCATTACCCGTATCGAACAATTAATAGTCTGTGTAATAAATAATATTATATTTTTCTTGTCATCCAATGTTATTAATGTATATTAACATCGAACATTATCGAACATATCATACAATATTTTTATAAGTCACTGTAATAAAAGCAAGCAGATACGATATTTGCTTGATTTTATTCTAAATATCAATGGTAATTTTATTGGAAATACGGGAGTGTGCGATTGTGTGTGCAAAAAATGCGTTAGAAGACAATGCTTTACAAAAGTGTCGAGCGCAGTTCTGTGAGTGATATTATAATGTGATTGTGTTACTATTAATGAAGTTATAAGTACACTAGGTATTAAATATTTAAGCTGTTTAGTCGATTTTGAGTGACCGATTTAACGGATAACGAATAAAATACTCTTGTATCGACATACGGTTGTAAAATATCAACAATGTTACATAAAAGAAACTGCCACGAAGTGCCTTTTATACAGTAAATAATAAGAAACGTTAAAGTAAGATTTATTTTTTATTTTTTGTTTTAAAGCTGACTTCAAGAGCGACTGGTTCGCGGCCTTCTGAAATTAGGTTTACTCTATTTTTAGGTAATTTTACTCTTTTTGCCGAAACTTTAACTGGTTTCTTGTTCTATATAAACATTCATTTGTTATTATTTCAGCTGTTTTACTGTCCAAAAATTATTAATGGAATATTAAATCTTTAATAGTTACCAATAGAATAAAGACAACTTAAAAAGTATATTTTGGTGTAAAAAAACATTCCTTCAGAAAAAAAAAAGGTAACAGCAACGTCACTTGCCGTTATTATAACTATTTATTGTATCTTACTTTTATATATAAAACCACTATATTTTTCCTCTAAAACTGTATAAATTTTAAGAAAAAATATAGAAAATTACGAATATGGAACGCTGTGTTTTATTTCACATTAGAGGTGCTCACCTAGATAGCACGAACAATCGTGTTATGAAAATTGTAAGATCTATTTGTACATTTTATACTTCAACAATTCAATGTGTGAATCATTAGTAGTTACCAATGTAAGCCTTTTTCTTTCTGTGCTTGAATCCCCTCGGATACCACCCACCGGTGCGACATAAGTCGGACTTGAATCGACCAAAAACTGCACGCCGTCTCGGGTACCAGTTGCCGGGGAACCAGGTGACCCTAGAAAGGAAAACCCTGATACCGCGACATACCTCGAGCCATCTACGGCGTGTAATGACCCCCTCCTGTGTGGGAACTCCTATGTCCTTTTTATGCTCCCGAAAGGGCGCGCGCGCTTTGCAGCACGTCTCGCCACCACCCCGGCCTGCTTCTGCTAGGGTGACAGATGGCCTCACCTACCACCCTCAGGCCTGCGCTTATGGAGGACGGAGGTCATTATGAGTCGTCTGCGGTACCTGGCCCGTTGCCGGGCCTGGCGCTCCGGGAGAGTTCTAAACCTTTCCCGGTCTCGCTCCGCCATCTCCTTTTCAAGCATAACTTGCTCGCAGAAAGAGACGCCGGACTTCCACGAACTCTCGCTCCGTACCATGGCGGCAATCATGTTACCGAGCGAGAGAATTCCCACTGTGATGGCCGCCACAAGGCAACGCCTCTGCTCCACCCACGCCGGACATTCTGCCAGCGTATGGAGCGCTGTGTCCACGGTCCGGCCATCGCAGTGATGGCACTCAGGCGTTGGCTCTTTGCGGATCAGACACAGGTTATCTCCGAAGCATCCTTTCCCGGTGATCACCTGCGTCAACCGGTATGAGAGGGTTCCGTGATGCCTCTCGAGCCTATACTAATGTAAGGCTGAAAGGTATTGAATCCTTAAATTTTTCTGCACATACTTACTCGACTTTGTATTTTAGGTCTTTTTCGAAAGTTGATATTGTTTTAGGGCCATTGTCCAATGACCGAGCCGATTCGTACAGTTGTTTGCCAACAGGTTTTCACTAATAGAAAACAGTTTACAATAAGTAAGTTTAGTATTTATTAGCGATTATAAGTTTAAGAAAGAATCATGTCTTCAATCGACACTTAATAAAATTAGTATTCTGAAAAGAACTCAAGACTGAGTGCCCGTCTCACCAACTGCTGACTAGTTACAAATATTTGTCAAGTTCTAATTGTTTACATTTTTTTATAGTCGTATTGCTCGATCGCCACAACGTATCCTGGCGATAGTTCGCGGAGATCAATGGTAGGTGAATGGGAGTGTGGTATCTCGAAACTTTAGTGGGAACATTAAAGGTAATTTTTGAAAGTAGATCGGGGCAATCTACACGTCCCGATATTATCCCCAATAGAAACGTAACGTGCGCTATTTCACGCCGTATGCTGAGAGGGAGAATGTGAAACCTGGCGCATAGCTTCAAATAGTCCTTTGATTCGTATTTATACTTAAACCGATAGCATAGATATTTTATAAATTTCATTAGTAATTTTCTCAATCCGAAATATTTATTTATTACGTGGCTTCCAAATCTGACTAACATATTCCAATATACTAGGAACATACGTGCAATACTGACGTTGACTGCACGGATGGCGTAGTGGTTTAAGAGGTCGCCACGCCGCTTCCTACTACGCCGAGTGTTGTGGGTTCAAACCCCACATGGGACGACACTTTGTGTGATCCACAAATTGTTGTTCCGAGTCTGGGTGTTCTTTGTGTCCGTTTCATGTATGTTTGTAAAGTCCCCCGCGACAAAAGATATTTTCCTAATGCGGGAGTTGTCTTTTTTACAAAAAAAAATAAAAATAATAAAGAATTTTCATAGTTTTGGGTTCCTTAAATTCGATTGACATCCGCATCACGAAGCCCAATCCTAAGAAGCCTTAGATATTATACTGGCTATGTGCCCCTGAAAGGATAAATTCATTTAAATCAAAGCACCTTTGGAGTTTCTGGCCCCTTAAAACGTAGTCAGAGAGGACAGCGATAACTTTCTTGCTGAATGTGATAACGGAACATTTTGATGAAGGATTCAAGTCGAGAATGTTTACCCTACAGTAATTATCCAAAACGAGTGAAATCTGCCTGTAAGTCGGTTATATCTTGAGTTGTACAGACCGCTTTAAATATTTTCATGTCGTTCAGAGTGATGGAAGCATTCGCCGATGTCGTTAACATAGAACAAGAATAGCAACGGACCGAGCAAAAACGCGCGCCTGAAATAAATTCGTTCAGTATAACAAGGTTGGATGACGTTGAACGACCTTTTAGGAGACCTCGCTCATAACTGTTACGACTCTAAGAAGGTGGAATAGAAAAAACTGAGAATAAATTACAGCGGCCTGTAAAATACAATTTGTGTAACATTGCTTTTCTAACCTTTTGGCCCTTCTCTCAACGGTTTGTAAGTTTCATGGTCTGATCGGTTGCCGTATTTCTGTACTTTCGAAGGAACTTGTGTTTTTCTTTAGTTAATCTCTTTAGTGCCGGGGACTACAACACAGAAAAATCGTGCTTATTACTTAATTTTGACTTTGGTATATATTTGTCTAATAATCGATAAAGAATTGTATAAAAACAATCAGCAGCATCTGTTATGCTAATAACTAAGAATTCCTTGCTCCAGTCCGTATTTGGAATATCTAAATTAATTGCGTCATAACTGCCCTTTGCGAACGAATTGTTCCACAGATTACGTTCTGCGTAGCAAAAAGTGTATTGAAAAGCTTCAGAAGGACTGCTAACAATAGAACGCAATTTGTTTATAGACAGACTTTAATAGTCCAGTGACAGCCTTTAGTCACATAAAGTCCACTGAATCAAAATGTCTACTGTATCAAATGTCCACTGTATCAAAATGTCCCCAGTATCAAAATTTCCCCAGTATCAAAATGTCCACTATCAAAATGTCCACTGTTTCAAAATGTCCACTGTTTCAAAATGTCCACTGTATCAAAATGTCCACTGTATCAAAATGTCCACTGTATCAAAATGTCCACTGTTTCAAAATGTCCACTGTATCAAAATGTCCACTGTTTCAAAATGTCCACTGTATCAAAATGTCCACTGAATCAAAATGTCTACTGTATCAAAATGTCCACTGTATCAAAATGTCCACTGTTACAAAATGTCCCCAGTATCAAAATGTCCAGTATCAAAATGTCCACTATCAAAATGTCCACTGTATCAAAATGTCCACTGTATCAAAATGTCTACTGTATCAAAATGTCCACTGTATCAAAATGTCCACTGTTACAAAATGTCCCCAGTATCAAAATGTCCAGTATCAAAATGTCCACTATCAAAATGTCCACTGTATCAAAATGTCCACTATATCAAAATGTCCACTGTTTCAAAATGTCCTCAGTAAATAACATCGACTACGCTGAGAGATGATTCTATTAAAATGACAATAACTGATGTTAACGCCGTATACGCCGATAGTTTGTCTATGATATTCTTATCATTCGTATCGCATCACTATGCATTGTAACTACCTCACAACTTTTTCTTTTCTTTCCGACTTCCGACGAGCGAGCATTGCGATACACAAAATTTTAAAAACCCAAGTTATCTTGGACATTAAAGCCCTGTACAAATCTTGGGAGCAGTTTTCTTTACTACGTTGAAGCCCCAACATCGGCGTATACGGCGTTAACAACTAATCAGTTTTGATGGTTCCCAGGCATCAACGTAACACCCAAACTTAAATTGGAAGTCCGAAGTCCAGCACAGCTTAGACCAGTTGCTAGATGTAAATACCTACATCCCAAGATTGATGATTGAGTACTGGAGTCACGTTTGGGATGGCTCAGCGAAATTTAGGCTTGAGGATCTAGGCTCCGTTGGTTGATGGGACGAGTCTGTGAGCTAAAAATAGTGATGTGAGCACGAAAAGGAAACTCCGTATTTATGATTTATGATTTATATGTTAAAGGTGTCTGCTTTTCGGGTTTTATCGGATTTCGTTTGGCTAGTGAATAACTGAATGCTCACCATTCGTTCATGGGACTAACAGACGCAGATGATAGAGATTCCATGCGTTCATTGTTGAACACCAACAAGTAGATTTGACCGAACGCTTTGACTGCTCCGTTTTGATCGAGTCACCAGTATAAAAAGAGGGCCTGCATCAATTTTTTTCAGACAAATCTTCACAATCGAAGTGATTGAGGTTTTGGATTAGAATTGAAGTTTTCATAAATAATATAAACCGTTTCCCGACACCATTTATTTATCATCATTCAGTCTTACTACATATAAATTATTAGGTATAATTCAACACTATTAAATGAAATTAATGAACAAATAACAGAAGATAGAAGTATGTATCATGCAAACTAATCCATTACGTATCAAAATATACAAAAAATATATTACATGTTCAACACTCATAGGTTTGGTAGAAGACTAAAAATTCAATAGGTTCCATGTATTTATGTATTACTTATGTTACTTAATAAAAAAATTAAAATTATTGAGTTACCCAATATGTAACACGAGAGACAATTTTTTTTTATTGCTTGGAGCTTTAGCTGCTTTTTGCTAATCGGCTGGATATCAACAAAAGTACTGTTCCCTGGTGTAAAAAAAACTGCTAAATGTAAAAAAAATGAAAACAATTGCCTATGGCACAATATCAAAATAGTAAAGTCACTTGTCTATGGTGTACAAGGTAAAATTACGTATGGTTAAAAGTACAAAATATATTTAAATATTAAGCAGTAAAATCCAATTATTTGCACGAAAATTATGTATATACGGTACGTGTGTATGTATTTCTACATAAAATAATTACATTGAGACTTTTGCAAATGCAAATTATAACTTGATACTTATTGCAACCCCCTTAGTAAAACAAAATAACCAGATAAAAATATTTTCTTACAACTCTAAATGTAAATGGGCTACCGCCGTTGGCGTCACCAATACAGGTCCTTTCTGAACACAAAAAAAAAGATACTTTTTTAACAAATCTGTATGCCGAAGCTGTTGATAATTACGGTTACAGGTAGTTGTATCTTTCTGGTGTTGCCAACCTATGATCTGTGGTAGCCCTCCTTATCCAATTTTCGTAGACATAGCTTTTGTACCAACATTTTTGATAACAAGTTTAGCTAACATACCAACGGAAAGACAGAAAACGAGTCCAGCGGGCATAAACTTTCTGCTGTTGTAATATCTGTAACGAAATAAAACTGTTAGTTTTGTAAATAAATTTAACTGCGTTGTCAAAAAATTATTTAATGCACAAAATGTTTATAATAAGTATTAAAGAACAAAAATTAAAAGTTGTACACATTTGTTAATACAAATACAGATAATTAAAAAAAACAAAACTTTGCCGTAATTATTATTATAGCACACGCTTTTTTTTTTTTGGTGACGGGGTGGAAAATCCCTCCCTGAGTCCTCAAGAACAGGAGATCCGTCTCCTGCTCTTGAGGACTCAGGAGCCAGGGAGCCATTTCACTAAAACCACACTGACGGCCGGCCTCAGGCGCCCTGCTTTGGGGGGACCTTGACCATGTGATTTGAGATCCTCCCCGAATCGACACCACGCTTAATCAGGCCCTATCCCAGGAAAAACAACTTCCTCCATACGGTTAATTTACGTAAATATAATTATGTATTATGGATCGTAATCATTTTTAAGTTAGTACTTGTAGTTGTGGTGAAATAAGTTAATTTTAAACCCGCTCTATGTTGTCTGGATAAACTAAAATCATAGCAACATTCGTAGCTTACAAAATCATCCTTTTTTTTTTTTTTTTTTTTTTAACGTGTGGAAATCCCCTCGGACCGTCACCCCTCCGGGGTTTGCGGCGGGGTGGTGTGTCGGACTCGGACCGACTAAAACCACACGGTGTGCCACTCTGCGCCTGTAACAGGAGGGATCCGGGAACAGCTGTTGTTAAGACATCCGGACCCTCCTAGCGCCAGCCCGCTCCTGGTGCGGGCTCCGTCTCAATATATTTTCCTCTCTTTAGGCGACGTCCGGCACACGCGGACGCCGCCCCCTCGCGGCTGGCCAAACTAATGCGGGTGGAGGGGAAACCCACCCCGTCCACCCGCGGCCACACTCAGGGCGGCATGAGGCGGTGATAGGCGGGCCTCAGCCGCCCGGTTCGCCGGCGGCGGATCGGGTCCGAGTGGAGGTCGTCCTCCCGGGCCCTCTCCGCCGCCTCCTTCCGCGAGATTACTACCTCGCAGGTTGCGACCGCGGTAAAACAACTGTCGCTACCGGCCATGGAGCGTACTACGGCCGGTAGCGAGAGATCCACCCCGATGACTGCGGTGAGGGCCCGGCGCTGCGCCGCCCATGCGGGGCAGACCGCCAGCGTGTGCTGGGCCGAGTCCTCACTGCAGTCGCAGTGGTGGCAGGCGGGACTCAGTTCCCTCCTAGCGACCGAGTGCAGGTACTTTCCGAAGCAACCGTGCCCGGAAAGCACCTGCGTCAGCCGGAAGGAAAGGGTCCCGTGCTGCCGCCCTGCCCACTCGGCGATGACCGGCTGGAGAGCCTCCACGGCGGCGAAGCCAGCGCGTGGAGTCTCCAGCCGGAACGACCAACGAGCCATCGTGGCTCGGCGAGCGGCTTCGCGCCACTCGCGCACATCCTCGGGCGGAGGGCGAAATCCGCTCTCCGCCCGGGAGTCAGCCACTCGCCGATAAACTTCGGCGAGCACTTCCGCCTCCAAATCCCACGGGGGAGTTCCGGCCAACGCGCATGCCACCTCCGTCGAATCGGTGCGGTAACCGCGTATGGCTCTGACCGCCATTACCCTCTGAGGGCGCCAGAGGCGTACCCTATTCTGGGCGGTCAGAGCCGTTACAAAATCATCCTAACCCAAGGACAAACTAACTTCCCATGTAAATGATCAGAGCTTAGCAACTGCTAGAAGCGTTTTTTGTCTGTTTGCTGATGAAAGTGGTGCTAGAATTTACAGGAATTTTAATATTCACTGATAGTGATCAAGCGCGCCTTGTTCTTATTTTGTTGTAAACCTAAGCCATAAATATATTATTTGCAAATTGAAATCTGGATATGGATAATATGAATATATATGGTATCAGATAGCATTAGGGACAGAATATTAAATTTTTAAGAGATAGTAGTAGGGAAAAATATATACTGACTTGGCTTTGCTTTTATGGTCATTCGCGTTAAGAATATAGTGACGCACCGATCAAGTCCCACCCCGTGACCAATCAGATCGGAAGAAATCGCCGTTACGAAAGCTTGGAAACTGATATGTCAGGGGGCGGGTCCTAATGAATGTGTCAGTGCTTTCTTAATGCGAATGGTCTATAAGTTATCATTTGGTACTGCAACCAAATAAATAAATATATTTAGAAAAATAATGTAGCTTTAAATATTTAAAACAAACATTTACACTATGCTTCTTAGATAGTATTTTAGTTGTGTTATTTTTTATAATTTATTAAACAATTTATGTATTTACTCATTTTTACTACTTGATACAATACATGTAAACTTTTATTTACCTATATCCCATCAAGCCGCCAAGAGCTGAAGTAGTACCTAACATTAGAGTGTAGTTTGAAGGATCTTGGGACAATTGGTATGCACCAACACCTGAAAGATAAAAGATTTTACATTAAATAAGGAGCATGACACACAGTAAGATAGTCTACTTTTGCATATAGATGGGGTTCTTGTAATATCCCCGGGTGACTTACCTAGAATTGATCCAAATATGAGTCCAGCTCCCAAAGATGGTACAGAACCTGAAAAAAAAACAGGATTAATCATAACGAAATTTATCATAAAATTAAAAAGAATTTAAAAGGAGCCTGTCTATATAATAATTGTTTTTCAATAATCAGATATATTATTGAAGTAATGTGGCATTAATTCTTAACATAATGAAGAATAAGGTGGCCAAAAGGATATACTTTAGTTAAGAATTTTTTTATTTTGCACTTATGTGAAGTGTAAATTGTCTGTTACTTTTATATTACAGAGCATGCATTGATTTAGTACAATAATATTGATATAATACAATCTTACACAAAGCTTTGAATTACACATAATCTGATGGGAACATCAATCTGGCCAGTATTGTTTACACTAAGTTCATTAAAAAAGTTAATGGATTTATTTTTATGGATATAATATTAAGATTATTAGGGTCCTTAGTCCTAACAATCCCTTATAGTTTCTTCAGGTCCCTTTGCCTGTTTGTACCGACTGTTAGTACTACAATGCTGTAATGTTGCATAGGCACATTAGTATATTATGATGCCAACAAAGTGGTCAAATAAAATTTTATCTTCTCAAAATCTATGTATATCATCATCATACATCTAGATCAGTATCTCAACTTTAAATTTCTAGTTCAACTGCTCTATATGTATTTTGTATCAAGACATAAGAAAAATGAGTGATAAACATGGAATGCTAAATAACAAAAATAAAGTTCATTCATCAACAGCCTATAATAGTCCACTGCTGGACATAGACCTCTTCTTAGACAGGAGGTTTTGGCCCACTATCCCACACTGGCCAGATGGGCTAGTGTTGGGCTTATTTGTTTCAAGTTTTCTTCTCTTTGCAGTGCTGTTGTCCTGCTTAGTTTGCTTCCTTGGTCGTCTCTTACGACACCCTAAACTTTGTAAGAACTAAAAAAGTTATGGATAAATGCTGAGAATACAATTTAAGCTCTAAAAAAAATAGCTTCTTTGAGTGAGATGTTGTTTATTTAGTGAATATACACTTCAGTTTTAGTTTGTAATTAATTTATACATGGCATTACTATCAAAAACATTTCACAAACATTATTAAATATAATGGTGTCATAATATTTTTTTGTTGTTAATATTTTCACATTTAATTTCTCAATAACCACAAGTTCTGTAAAAATTTACATTAATATTTCAGTTAATACTCGATGCAGGCTTAATAATGCAGTTTACACATATTGACACAGCAAAATGAGAATATAAACCAAACAGATCAGAGTTGACATCAAAAGAGTATGTATACTCTGAGATTACCATTCAACATATACAATCTTCAAGTTGTCCTTATATAAAAGAGTTTATTTCAGGAAAACAAACTATTATCTACATCATTAAAAAGACTTACAGGAGGTAAGTCTTTTTAATGATGTAGACATTTCAAATCTATTAATTTGATGGTAAAGACTAACATCGTCATCGGCATAATTTCGGAGCCAAATAAAATTATACTCGTCGTAACTAGGATATCAGGGCTTATCTTCAAAAGAAAAAATTACTCTAGAATTTTAGAACTCGCTAAGATAAAAGACATGCGAAAAGAAACAAGACTCATAAAAACTAACCTGCTTTTGCATAACCCATGATACCTCCAGCGGCTACCGTGGCAGCATAAGCAAAACCCAAAATATCAACACCCATTGTTATTGAAAACAATTTGTAACTATGTATCTTAATAGAATATAATTGTAATAATAAAAAAATTGAAAATAACACGTCAAATTGCTATCACATCAGCTGGATTGAAATCATTGAAATACTTATGTACTATGTACCACAGCTATGTACATATCTCTTAATCTGTAATCTGTTGATTGAAAGATGTTCCGGAAATTGCCAGCAAGCAAAATTTAAAACAATCTAATAAAGTTTTTATGTTCCGAAAAATCCCATTACTTCACTGCACTGATTAAAAGAAAACCAGACATTGAGTAACTTTCCCTGTAAGAAACGACCTGTACCTACAAAAGCCAAGAGGACCGGCGTAGGTGAAAAATTTAAATTTGTATTTTTGTATGTATATTTGCAATCTCTCTGCTGTCAACGACTGCTGTATATTTGCAATCGTTTTACGACAAGTTCCCATCTGATTCAAACCGATCAAAACGAAATGGTTAAAAACTGTTTTTGGATTTCTCTAGCTATAGTAACCCTCTGAAAGCACAGCTATAGAACATAAAATTCCTCACATCACATATTTACATCTTTATTTTCATTTCAACTGTCAATGTCAGTAACTTTTGGCATTTTGATTCTGGTAGAATAATTGTGCAATATTATGAAAATTAGCTAAAATTCTAGTTTTGTCGAATCATCCATGCATGCCTGTTTTACGGCAGCTTACATAGATAGTCTTCAAAATGTTGTCACTTCCATCCTAAGCTATTTCGTCACACAACTCGCAAAAAGTCATATAGATAAAGCATTTTCCAGTTGATTGTGTATAAAAATTATGAGTAGCGGTGTACAAGGCCAGTCTTCACTATTCAGTCATAACCAGATGCTGATAGTACACGGTTGTCCGTTCCGTGTATAAAATATTGCGTTAAATAGCTTTGTGTGCGTGATATCCGCCGGTATAGCCTTGGCTTTAAGTGTGAGGCCTCTAGTCTAGTATACAATTAAAGTTAATGTGGTTGGCCACAATGTTGAAGAGCGCATCTAAGGTGACGATAAACACCGGCAATGTGCTAAACCTAATCGACATCAAGAAAAAGGCTGGACAAAATGTTACCGAAGAGGTTAGTAATATCTGTTTCATAGACTTTGATTTTTTTTCGAGGTGATGTCCTTGACGATAACCGGAGTAGGTAGTAATTTAGAGCCATTTGTAGATGATATTAGTATACTGTATTAAACAATCTATGTAATGTACTCAGTAGATTTACACATAAATAGTTTTGAACGGTCATCATAGTTATTAAATATAAGTTTAACATTATATTAAAAAGCTGATGTATGTGTAATCTAGATGAAAACTAACCCTTATTTAATTTGCCTATTATGTAAATTAGCTGATGTAATTTTGTAGAACTTGGTGTAAGACTTGATCTGTGAGTAAGTAATTATAGATTCAAATGTTCTTCTTCAGGCAAATGAGAATTTTTCTTAGCTTAAGTCTGAAACCAACTTTTATAAATAAAGTTCAATATTATTAATAGTAAATATAAAACTAAGATGTTCCTTTTGGTAAGAGACAGGAAAGGACTTGCAGTGGATAATATAAGATTCTTAAAAATTCTAATAGGAAAATAAAAGTATTTGTTTTGGAGTTTGGGTGTTTTCTGTATATATGTATTTACAAAAAAAATAATTGTAAGTATTCTATCAGTGAATCTAGCTTTCATAGTAGAAGCTCTGCTTGGTTTGAAACTAGATGGTGTTGTGTGTTACAGGTCTGAAATATTAGTATTATGATTATTATTCTCTTTATTCCATGAAATATAAATTACATTTTTAAATATATTTATGTACAGGGACTAAGATATCGGAGGTTAGGACTCCAGAGTTCCTTCTTATGATTATTATTATTAATTGTATGTAAGAAATTATTAATTATGTATGTATTAAATTGTAAGAAATTCAGAAATACATGAGTACCTTGAAATGCCAACTGTAAGGGAAGAAGTTAAAAAATACAGCAAAAAGTACAAAGAAAGACTCAACAACCACAGCAACGCTCTAGCTAAAGACCTACTAATAGACAGAGAAAACGTAAAGCGCCTCAAAAGGCAGCACATCCTTGAACTCGACCGAAGAAACTGAACAGTTTCCACCAATAGTTGGTGCTATTTAATGAAATAGCAACTGACCTTTCCACCCTAGACCTTATCTAATTATGGCTCATAATAGCTGATTCTAGTATTAAAATGGGGAAAACAAAAAAAATTGTACATGAAATGTAATATATGGGGTGGGTAATTCAGGATCCACCCCTAGGCCAATTCACACAAAACTATTACACCAGAAATAGTTACAGTTATATGTATAGAAATTTTCCTTTTGGATATCAAATACTTGATTACTATGATTACTGTGCTCTATCACATCCATTGGTTGCTAATAATAATAATAGCTGCTACTGGGCTGTAAATCTCTAAAATGGAACAAACAATAATTTAATTAAAAAACTTCAACTGGTATACTACCAAAATTGAGAATTATACAATTGTGTTAAAGTTAATTTGGAAATCAAATACACCAGCATAAATCCTATCTGTTAATAGATGGCAGCTAGTCTAAAAATATGCATACACATGTAAACAACACATATCTAGAACCATGTGCTGATTTAAAAAGAGACTACATTATCATTTGTGCATATAATAAATAATATTTTTATCTGTCAAAGTTGGAGCAGACTGCCTATTTGATCTGTATGTACCCAGATCTGTATTACTTTATATTTGTTCTATTTAGGTACAAACCAAGAATAATATTGCCAATAACAGAAAACCAGGAAATAATTATAAAATGTAAACACTGAAAACAGGTGTTATGCAACCTAATATATTTCTGTCTCGGCGAAATGAACACTTGCGTCGTTCCACGTAGTTGGCAATGAGGCTACAACTAGACCTATTTTTTTTATACTGTTCCATTTTAGTCTGTGTCAATTTATTTTTGTTAACAGGCCATTTTTACAATCCGTTTCTACAACAGATCTGAATTTAAGATCTTTAATTTATAATATTTTAATCATTCTTTGCATATGCATTTCATATGAATTCGCTGTGTCTATAGTCTAAATACCTACCAACCACAATATATCAATATATAAGTACCTGCAACCTCTACCTCTTTTTAGGATTCTACTTTTATTTGGCATGGGTAAACATATTAAAGACACAAGCACACAAGACAAACAAAGCGGTAACAGAATTTCATTCGGAAAAAGTCGACGAAGTTATTAAAATACAGTCGTCAATAACGTATTCTCCAGTATAAGTTACGTAGATAACTAAACGTAAACGTCTAATAAATAATTTTGTAAATAAGATAATATGTTTAATTCATGACGTGCCTCAATAGGGACATTTTCTAAAATGTCTACAACAAAAATGTTGTATATACTAAAATTAAAGCAAAATCTTTAAATTACGAAGGGAAATATGACATCTAAATATTATGTTCAGGGGGCTCGTGGCTAAGCAGTAACCGAGTAGGTCAGCCTATGGATGGGTGACCATTCTTAAAACAATGACAACCCTACATGCCTCGGAGAGCACGTCGGTCCCGGTTGCCCTACGAACATCTGTGGCAATCTTTACGGATAGTTGCGAGCCCTAAAAAGTCCGACAAGTCCTTTTATAGAACTTTGATATCGTCTGGTGCATGGGTTATGTAGGTCTAATAGCAGTCGCTTCACGTAAAAAATCGAAGTTCTGCCGTATCGTGGTAGATAGCCGTCCCTAACCTAGTTTGGAAAAAGGCTCGGAGGAAAAAAAATCCGATTTACTAACAGTAGGTACTTTTAGGTATCCTCAAAAAGTGTATGACTTGCCTTTTTTTTTGTCTCATTTCGTATTTATTTGTAACTTAGTTGGCCATTCGAAAATCATAACTGATGTACGATATTTATGAGAATAGTGAGAATAATATTGAAACTCTGTAATGATTCACGATGATCAAGCAACTATATATTTTCCTGCCTTGTATGTTTTATGTGATCTTTAAATGAGACAGACAGCAAAACAGTAGGTAGTAATGCACATATACCACTCCTTTGATAGGTATTCAATATTACTTTATCATACAAAAACTACCCATGACTATTACATACCTATTTACAGTCGTTTCTTCCATCCTAATGGTGGTCTGTAAGAGATTGCTTTTTAGCAATAAATAATGTTCATAAATTTTACGTACACTTGAAAAAATGGATAGGACAGGAATATAGGAAAATGTAATTTAAGTTATAGGTAGGTAAGAAGGTTAGGCACTCTTAGCACTGGGATATTTATAAGGATGTTGTGATGATGTGTGTTCTTTTACGGTTAAATGGAGTTAAACCGCTATGTCTTCTTTTATCGAGTTATGTTACGCGCGATAAACGAAATCTAACGAATTCCTTTGTAATTAAAACTACCCAATCAGATTAACCTAGTGCTATCACTAGGTTAATCTGATTGGGTAGTTTTATTTTCATCATTACTCGTCAAGACAGATAGGTATTTGTAGTAAACCATGGAAAATCCAACTGCCAAGACGTACATGGCCAATAAGAATAAGAGACACATGTATAATCGTTATGTAGATATCGTTATGTAAATGATACAATACGTCGTTGATACTATCTGAGTAGCTGCTTGTTGTCTGAACAAGTGATGTTGCTGTTGTCACTACAAACAAACTTATCGTTTCTCACAGCCTGTTAGTATCAACAGTTCCTATTTTAAGTACTATTCAACTGTAGTATATGGTTTCATTTTATTATCTGATTCTGTTTATACAGCCTGCCATGACAGTGTAAAATATAGTACAAGTAAAGTTAAAAATATACACAGAGGTCGATAAAGAGTTTCTATACGTATTACTTCGTGAACTACCCTACCTACCCCTAGCCTACCCTTCAAAACCCGTATCTACACACACATATTACACAAAATGTGACGTTTAAAGTGTGTGTGTTTAAAGAAGATTTCTTGCATTGTTTTGTTCAAAATAAAAAATAAATGTCAAGGTCATGAGTTTGTTTTTGGAACTTTGTGACACTTCCACTGCTTTATGTCACGCTCAAATCGTCAGATTGTTTTAAATACACACTAATCCCTATGTAATTAGCCCAACTTACCTTAATTTCGACCATCGACTTTTTTTTAACTAATCTGATAGGCTGCCCTAGACGATCTCACCTATATGTAGGGCTCATGTATGGTGGAGGTACTCAACTGGGTGTAAGGTATTCCTCCTTGTTAATCTGACACGCTCGAGTAAATCTTCAAATCCCTTCTAGGGCTCCCCTGCTACTATTCGGAGTGTGAAGAACTCAATGTTTATGTACTCGACAAGAAGCACCGGCTTTGTTATCTCTGAATTGAATCATCTACTCGTATACATATGAAGTCACTTGCCCTGACCGACCAACTAATTCCACAACGCAGTGCCTAAACATCCAGCTCAAGTGACTACAAAATTGACGTTTGAAGCAGCTGATAATTTTTCTGTTTCAGCGCCCATTAATAATTGATTTTTGTAAATTGCATCCATAAGGGATTAACGATTGTATGGCAGTTCGTCATTGTCATAGTTAGAAATACGAAATAAGAAATACTTAGTCAGCAATTGAACGTTTCCTAAAATAATTTAGAAGTAGGCTCATACTTAATGGAAACAGTTCTAGTTTGTAGAGACCACTGAAATGGTAGAGTTCTTGGTTACAACACCAAATCCATCCTTGGAAATATCCCAGTCTTACCAGTGCTGGCACGACTTTAGTGCTACTAGAAAATTGCTTCACAGAACACCGGTGTTAAGCAATTCTTTTGTTGTATTTCATCGAGTAAGTGAAGTTACCGGAAAGCCTAAAACGTCCACTTACTAATTCTAGAGAGAGCTTTAAAAGTTCGCAACGCACTTGGAACTCATAAGTTTCAGATGACAATGGGCGTTGGTAGTGTTGCGCCATTTTAAATACTAAGAAAACAATTTATAGCTTTCAGAGAGCATCAAGCTGACCCTGTCAGAATGGAGCTCTGTTCAAAACGGCCTTCCAATCCAAAATGGTGTTCCGGAGAATTCGCCTGAAACCTCACAGCAGCACTCGGATTACATGGTAGTGTCCACATCGACAGCCCCCAGTGCCCGTACGGAAACCTTAGTGAATATAACCAGGCCTCACGATGACGTTCACATCAAAATGGCGGAAGAGGAACGGAAGAATCTAAAGATTGGTGTGAAAATATTCATAAATGAACATAGTACGTCGGCACTGACGGAGTGTTTACAGAATGGTAAGTGATTTGTTTAATAAATTTTGTGGTGTTCATTTTGTGTAACTTTATACTAAAAACGCTGCCTAGCTAAGAACTAAAGCATTGTTTTTTTGGGGGCACATAAAACTTCTTAAGTCATGCTTCGGGCATATAATGTGTCGGCTCGACCCGAGTGATAGCACTGCCTCACAGAAGACAGGTTTTAAGAAATTCTGCCGTTGCTTTTCACTCGATGAGTTAGGTCACTGGGCCCCTCCCACTAACTCTGGGTGATGGGGATGCTCAAAGCAAAGCACTTGTGATTTGCATGGGTTGTCCGCTAAAGTTCGGAGGACAACTTATTAAACAAGTACATATATACCTAAGATCAATATGTTATCACTACAGTTGAAAAATGACACAGCGTTATTATGATGTAATAAACAAAGTGCTAAGTTTTTTTGTCAGCTGATGTTGATAAAGAAATCACGAGTGTAATCGGTTCTTGTGATAATATTATAATATTAGTATTGTAAGAGGGCCTTAATCAAACCAATGGTCTGATAGTCCGATTATGCAACATAAAATGGCTCCGACTGATTACGAATAGCAAATCGTACCTACAACAATTTGATTGTAATTAAACTAATTAAAAATTCACTCTGGAATCTAAAAAGTTAATGTTTTTTATCTTCAGTTTTCTTGGTTCATGAAATGCTTAAGTAGTCATCTAACGTTCGTTATCAGTTTTAATAGAAACATAATTATTTGTCTTTTTGCGGGTAACCGATAAAATAATCGTGAAAACAAATTACTCATAGAGCAGCTCGGTAGCACTCCTGTCCGCCGGTGGCCTGTGTTGCTCTATGCAAACTACTCCATAAAGTTACTAGGTGTACCCTGCCACGCTTCGCGGTGGCATATTGTGGTTGCATTGATGAGAAATGATGAACAAAACTAAAGCAAAAATTGATAAAAACAATGTTTGAAGCTGGTTATACCTATATCGTGTCAAAATTTAAGCTCAATTTTTGAAGTGTGCACAAACCAACTTAACATTTTTATATGTATAAAAAGAAATGTGTGCATAGGTACCTTTTTTTTTCTGTGCGGAAATCCCCTCGGATACCACCCACCGGTGGTTATGTCGGACTCGAACCGACCAAAAACCGCACGCCATCTCGGGTACAAGTTGCCGGGGTGGCGTGCGGTTTTAGGTGTACCCCAGGAAGGAAATCCCTGATACCCCGACGTATCTCAGCCCATCTACGGCGTGTAAATGGCCCCACTTGTGTGGGAACCCCTTTGTCCCCTTTGTGCTCCGTATAGGGAGCGCGCGCACAGCAGCGTGTCTCGCCACCACCCCGGCCTGCTTCTGCTAGAGAGACAGCTGGCGTCACCTACCACCCCCAGGCCTTTCCCGGTCATCACTTACGTCAATCGGTATGAGAAGGTTCCGTGATGCCTCTCGAGCCAATTCTCTATAACGGGTCTTACCGCCGCGATAACGGCGTGCTTATGTGCATAGGACCTGCATTAGATTGGTACATAACAATATATGCTTCGAGTTGAAAGCCTTTTACGTCAGGACTGACAATAAAATACTATTATTGATCCTGCGTAAGTATTAGTCCGTGTTTAGTTACTGACGTCATTAGCGGACAAACGCCATGAAGGCCATCATACCGTACCACTTTAGAGTAATGACGTCACAATCCCAAGTATAAGATGTAGTTCCTGTACGTTATAAGACAGGTTTACCAGATTCGGAATTGTTTAAGGTAATCATTAAACTACGTTATAAAATTATAGTCTCATATACAGACAGTGCCAATTCCAATAAGTAATATCTCAGAATGACTTGACACAAAATATTAAACGTTATTCGTCGTCGTTCGTAATTCGTTAGTCGTTAATCATTGAACAATTTATAAGTCTGTATCGTGTTTACACAGGTCAAGATCTTGCTATAAAAAATGACCGTACAAAAAACGAAAACCGCGAAACGCGAAAACCTCAACGCTTGTAGACAAGTTAGGATTATTTAGCACGGCCTTGCGAAGCGCTGGACTAAGGACTAGTAGTCGATTATTTAAACCTCGTTGTCATTATTTTACTGCTACTTTTCGATTTGATTGTTCTAAAGAAAGATGATAAAACCACCTATAAACATCACACAGAACTCTAAAACTCCTTGTTGTTCTTATTGTACAGACGGAATTCTGAAAATATACACATATATTAAATTTAATATATTTCAGTTTCCAAAAATCTACAAACTGTTGATATAGAGTTTCAATGCTCTTAGGCCGGGTTTTGTGGCATATTATTTTGTATATCGTTTTATTATATATGTATATCATTTTTGTTCTTGTTTCAGGGTGCCTATATTTAAAAAATGCCTCTACTCGTGGCTCGCAAATAGAAAAAATGTAAAAACTGTTCTTTTTAAAATTAGACACATGTGAATATTAAGAATCGGTTTCTTTGTGCGAAAGAATAACATCAAATCAGCTACACTGGTTCACGGCAAAGTATTTTGCATGTATTTATTTTTACTTAAGTGTTCTGAAACATTTTGCTGTTATAATATATAGATATGATATCTAGATTACTAGATATCATATCTATATATTATAACAGCAAAATGTTTAAGTAAAGGTTAGAATAAAAGTAAAGGTGAGCTCTATGAGCATGACGCATAGTCATTATTATTATCTGTAGGGTAGGTTCCTTGATAAAGAGATAAGGAAAAGATAAATATATAAGTATGTCGATATATTTCACGTGACAAGCACTATTTGAGTACCAATGTACATATTAATATCAATGTTAAAAAACACTGTCACTGACTTCAAAACGCCTACATCATGATGAATTGTAATAAACTGTATTCTTTATGTATGTATTGTATGCTTTTATACATTGCAAACGAGAAGTATACCCAAATAAGAACATAATTTCCCAAAACACTTTTTATAAATAAAGGAATTTGGAGGTATCAAACAAAAAAAATCGCATTGAAATCCCCTCGTTTTTTGAAGGCGGTTGAAAAGAAATCGTTTTATTTAAGTTCGTGTGCTTTATATTTAATTAAATTGTAGTTTGTTATTTTGCCGTTATTACGTGGAGATAAAGCCAATCCAAGTTTACTAAAACAATACGATATCTTTCCACTAAGATCCAATTCTAGGACCAGCGAAAAATCTACTTCGACTTGCGCAGCGTCAAAATTGTGTTGATAGTTCATCTGCGTGTTTTCGTAGGGATTTTATTGCTTGAGGTTTTGGAAAGACACTACTCCAAATCCAAAAATGACGCAACCATTACCATGCTCTACTAGGCAACAGGACACTTTTATTGTTGCTTTCATTCAGTTCTTATATGTGATGTATTATTATATATTTAAACCACGCTCTATTAAGTCAGTATTATGAGATTTTCACTTTATTACGATTTGATCCATTGAGAATGTTCATAGCAGGAACGAGACGGAACTATTTATGTTTAATAATATTTTTATACTTGACCGATACAAGTGTTATTGCGTATTACATATTCGTCGTTATGTATTTTCACCAAAGTTATGTTGACCTCTAGTTTTTATGAAACAGTATACGGTAGGTAGGTCAAGGTATATCGTGTATTAAACTGATAAATTGACATATTGACACCATAATATAATTTTATTCAGATTATAGTCTTTCTTAATCAAATAAGAGAAATATAGAAACGACTTTAAGGAATCTGTGTTGAATAATATTTGTTTGTATCCTACCTATCATACCTCGCCATTCCCTTGCCTTGTTTTTGTTGTACTAAAAAGTTTAACTCAACTACGGCAAACTATTTAAGCACCCTTACCGGTTCTTTCCATCTGTTCGCGAACGGTTGTCAATGACATGGCTTGGGGTAGATCACTGTATCGCTCAATTTCTTACGGGTCATGGTAACTTTAAGAGCAAGCTGTATTCATTTCAATTAGTCGAGTCACCATTGTGTCAATGCTCAGCACCTAACTCTAACTGAGAAAAGTCTACTGATCGCATCCTCTGGGAATGTAGTCTTTGAATAGCTTGCAGGTGACATCATGGGTGGTATACTATGGAGGTCTTGTGTCAACTAGGGTGAATTTCCGTGCGTTTAGGCGATTCTGCCATAGATACATATAATAGAAATCAAATATTATATTATTTTGTGACCGTGGTGCTTCCCTATTTAAATGGGTGTATGCCTATTTTACTTCATTTTGTCTCCCGCTTTGCTAAGGAGGGAAGTGGCTTTACTGTATTTCCAACTCCTCCGTTTTTTCTGATTAATATCGTTGCGGGTTTTAAGACATTCAAAATTTTTCCTGGGACTTCATGAGTGTTATAACTCGGTGTGTTTGTGGGTCACTGCTGTTGATCCTAGTGTAAAGGAGTTATAGTGGTGGGCGTGTGGGAGGGATTAGTCAACTACAGCAAGTACTCAATCTATCCATAACATACACTCATTAACACGTAAAAGAATTCATTGTATTAGTAAGAAAAATCGCAAACGGAGAAACTTGAGACTGGTTAAATGGATCGCACCCACGACTTCCACGTTTCATTGTTTGAGTAATGCCTTATAACATCGCGTCACATTAACTGCCTTTAATAGTTTACTGGACATAGGCCTCTGCTTAGAAAAAAGGTTTTGGCCTACTATACCACGCTGGCTTGGTTGGTATAGGGTTTGTGTCAAGTTTTCCTTCTCTTTGCAGTGCAGTTTGCTCCCTTAGTCGGCAGCCTCTGGATGAATAGAGGTGGTGACACTCCGTATTCTTAATCCGGATTTATAAGCATTTATAATCATAAATGCCGTGAAAATGTACACACGGAAATATGTGGTCATTCATCATATTTACATATTCTTGTTAATTGATTGCTAGTATTTTGATCACGATCACCACGCCACACATATAATTTGGTGTCACCACTTGCGGTTCGCGGTTAGTTTGAGTAATCTATGCAAAGAGCTAAGCTGTTCATGTTGTCTTTAAGACTGCATTGACCTGTAAAACTACATGTAAACTTTTAACTTCTTCAGATAAAAGTGTACTCTATTTAATGCTTAGTAATATTATAAATGTGAAAGTAACTGTTTTTCTGTTGCGCTTTCACCGCTAAACCACTAAATCGATTTTAATGCAATTTAGCATGGAGATACTTTTATTTTTGAGGAAGAGTATAGGCTACTTTTTACCACGATAACCGACTTACACCTCGGCGGAGCCACGGACAAAAGCTAGTAATCAAAATATTAAAATTCCTTAGAATCACCAAAACAATAAGACTGGGATTCAATGACGCAAAAATTAACTCTACCTCATGCTCATTAATGACTATTTTAAAGTTAATTTATTATCTATAATACAATAATATCGACGTCTTACTTTCTCAATGAATAGGGCTTTTTCTGGTTAGTCCTTAAATATAGCTAGATTCTAAAGAAAGAATACAATTCGATTGAACAGTGCTTTATCATCTTTATTTTCGATCAGATAGACCATAACGATTAGTTGCTCATTAGCTGATATGGCTCGAGGACGACGATTGTTCTTTAAATATTACCGTTGTTTAGATAAAATAAGAGCTTGTTCATTTTCCAATGACATGTAAACAATTAAATACAGTTAAAACCTCATTGCTGTCATAAACAACTTATTGTCTTTTTTAACGTTCATTGAGGTAAGACGTTGTCATACGATAAACTTATGAATGTTGTTACATACCATAAAATCCTTTGACAGCCTACACGATACCTGACATTGGAAATAAACTCACACTTGCGCCTAAGATTCGCATACATGTAACGCGAACTGACTGTCCCCGGAAAACCCAAGCCCTTTAAAATGCTAACAGAATGTTATTACTTAGGTATAGGAAGTTTATATGATTATAATTATTAATGATTTTCCTGTTCATCCTGAATTTCGAGTAGATATATTTAGCGACGACACATTTTGTCTAGGTGGTAATTCTTCCTTTATGAACTAGCACACGGCCTGACCTATGATGACCGTTACCTATAAAACACTCGTAAAATCGATTATGCTGGTGATGCGTTGCTAACCTTATCTACCTTAAATCTTTAAGCTCTCGGTCATAAGACTCGTCAGTGGAAATAAAAACGAGTGAGCCTCACAGTAGTAGCATGTGATGATCTGACATCTCACTTAATTGCTGAAATCAATCAAATCTTTTTTTTTGTTACACACTTCGGTCCCTTTTCAAGGACCAAAACGAATTGCTGTCTAATTGTGATCTTCTATAGTTATGAGGCATTGTACAAATCGGACAGCTAACATGCGAATAGAAATCTATGTATCTTTTTATTCCTAGAATAAAAAGGATTTTAATTTGAACTTGTATTCCTTTTGCAGTGTTCACGGCCCTACAAACAGAGTACATTGACAACGTGATCTTGGCGTACAACCCGGACAACGTGAACAGCAGACAAGCCAGGAACGATGACGACAATGTGAAGAACACATCACACAGTACCAAAGCCTCTCCCATTTCTCTCGGTAGTAATAGTATGTACTATGCCTTTTAATTAATAATCAACTGGATGATAGATGCGAAAGTATTTTCCCTATGTAAATTAATAATGGGTTTTGGGAAGGGGAGGTTTAAACAGTGATATTTTTTGTTTCTAGTGAATATTTCGAGCACGGATGGAGAAGCAGACAACGATGCTGATGCTCGCAAATGTGAAGCTATTCTCCCTGGCATTAAAGTGTTGTGGGCTGTGCTAGAAGATTATGTAAAAGAAGGTAAGAATGTCAAATTTGTAAAAACTATGTTTACTATAAATACTATTTTAAGGAAATAAATGTGTGTCTCAAAAGTTACTCTATTCAATGTATGACAACTTGAATAGAAATCCTCCAAAGCCTTTTGACTTTACAAACAAGTTAAAAGTATTAGATTAGCTGGATATGTACTATAAATATTTGCATAAGATAAACAATAATTATATTATAAAAATAATAATTGCATAGATTTAGTTAATAAAATATTCTCATTATTATATGTATGTAAAACAGTTGTTACATTAAAAAAATTGGAATGCCACAGGGTAAGACATTGGTACCCGTATCGTTTTACTAAGGTGTACTAAAATATCGTCAGGTCGCGTCCAGCAGCTGGGCGTGGCGGACGTGGGCGGCGGCTGCCTGCGCAAGCTGCACGCGTGGGCGCGCGTGCGGCCGTCCATCGCGCAGATCAACCTGGCGTCGTGCTGCGTCGTGCCGCCCTCGCTGCACACCTTCTGCCGCGCCAACGACGTGCAGCTCCTCACGCACGCCGACCCACCCGGTACGTCCTCTATGCTCCCTATGCTCCGTTCCTGGGGAAACTGAAAACTATTTTTATGATCACTGTCGACGGGGAAAATGCAATCCAACAAATAACATAAAATATCTATGATTTTTTTCAACATTTCTGTTATTTTACATTGTTGTCCAATAAAACTCAGTTGTTGTCTGCCGCCTGGCCTTCAGCGAGGATCCTAAACAGCATAGGCTGTGTCTTTCTATCCATATATTAATAGGTAAACATGACTATCCATGTTGCATTTAACCTTTTCGAAAGTGACCTACCTCAAAGGTCCCGATATCAAAATCAAAAACCGACTTTAGAATGCCCACTTTAAAATTCGAAAAAGAAACCTTCAAATTATAAGTAAGAAAGTTGTATACATCGGTCACTAGTGTCACTATTCTTTATTATCTACCCACTATGCAAATACACATTTTTCGTATGAAGATTATTGCATTTTCTGTCACACTTATTCAGTATAGTCTAACAGTTAATCTTGCAAAATGTGTGACTAATTTAACATTCTCATATTTGTAATATTCTATTGTATGATTATTAATTTACAGACCTACTATCACAAGCTGCGGTGAAAACATTATCAGACGCTGGAGTCGGGTGCAATAACCTCGATTGGTGCGCCCGTTACCAAGTTCACATAAAATGCAGGGGAGTTCTCGCACTCAAAGGATACGTTTGCAAGGCCACGATCGCACCCAAGCTCGAAAAGAAATAAGACACGTAAACAACAAATTATAACTTAAGTAAATTATTATTTTCACGAAAAGTGTACTTATTCATGTTTACTTAAAGTTTAAATTTGAATTTAAATGTAGTGTTAAATATATTTTGGAAGAGGTTTGAGGCTAAATTCTTGTGGGCATATAAGTTAATGAACATTGTGCGAGGTATATACTTTAGGTGTATATTTTCAAAAACCACTTAATCTTTACGTCGAAGAATGGAAGATTGGGCCCTATCTATTGCAGTATTGTAAATATTTGCATGTGTTATTAAAAATTAATCGTTATTCGACTAAAAAGCGAATATGAACTTCTTTGAAATTGCACGCGAAGTGTGGACATCCACTTTGATTCTCATATATCAGGGCATAGCTGTTTTTGCTATCAATATTATACGTTCTACCCTGACTTTGATACTTTGAAGTAATTCGCTAATTACTTACATGAACTTTTATGGCCGAAAAAACATATATGCCTGGAAAATGTTAGCCTTGAGGTTTTTGAAAATATACCCCTGTTATATCATTATACATTTGATAAATAATATTTGTTACTACATTACGGTGTGTTCTTAATCTAACGAGACAAAAGCAGTAATGTACATTGTTAGATCCACGAATACCCACAACTCTTTCCAATTTGATTATAGAATGATCAACATACAATCTTGGTATGATTAATTCTATAAGGTGCTAAGTGTTACATTAGTCTGTATAATTTATATTAAATTGCAATGCTTAAAGTTATTGGTTATACATCAGCTGAAATTCAAAAAGATCAAACATTTAGATATAAATAGTACGAGAAACATTCTAGATATTTAAGGTTAGATTTATAAGTAGCGTAAATGTGATATAATCTACTTAAATTTAAACCTTATGTTAATGTACTTATGCATTCTATATATTTGTCAGTTTATGTAAAAAATATCTGCTCATATTGTACACAGGTTTACAATGTGTTGATATTATTGCCAGCTGAAAAAAATATTTACTAAGAAGTTCACTTTCAAATATATTTTGGTACCCTTTATAAGCTATATTAAAAATCCTACATGCCATTAATAATAATAAAAAAGGGAATAAAACTAAAAGCCTTACTTTTTACAATAATTAATATGCTTTTAATTTAATCAACTTCGGTTACTACTTGGCAACACTTATCAAAACAGTTCTCTCTGTCTAAAATTGTATTGAAAATTAATTAGTGACTAGAAATTGCTACAATAACGTTAATAGGCTGTGCTGTCTACTTTGCAATTGTTATAAACAATTTACTGTCTCTTTTGATATGTTAGCAGATATTTAAATTTAGTTAAAAATATTATAAGTTATGAATTATAATGAAATAGTAATATTAATTAATTAAAATAATTATTATATAATAATATTATATTTGTATAAATTATTGTTCTTTTAGATTTTGATAGCGGCCCAGTCCCAGTATTTCAATAGAGAAGTGTTAGATCATGCAACGAGTACCATCATAGCACACTTGTATTGCTTCAAATATTTTTAGGTTAGGATAAAAGAAAACCCTTGTGAGTGGTACTCTCTGATGATCTAACGTTAAAGTTATGTGAGGAGGAATATGAAATAACTAGTTTCAGCATCGACGGAGGTCGTCGTAATTTAGTTTGTTTTCTGTTTGCGAATAGAAAGAACGACAATTCTCCAAAGACATTATTATAATGCGGTTAACCATACGTTTAGTAGAAGTATCTACTAACTAATACTAAATAATAAACGGTAGCTTTCTTGCTATTATTTTAGGGTTTATGCATAAGTTTTAATAAAATTTCGAGTGTTATACTTGTCATAGAAATCTCATAATTAAATCTGTCAAATTAGTTAAACTCGACTTCCTAATTTCCAGCGCAAAATTTGAAATTACTAAAGAGTACCAAAATTGAAACCGAAAAACTCTGTTTTGATGATCCATACATATATGAATAAAACCACAATTTTAGACACCAATAAAAGAAATGTTTACATGAAGACAACACAACATTGATAATATAATTGCCTCAAATAGTGTCTTCATAAAAATAGTCGATTATCCATTGCATTATTAAAAAAAAAAGTATTTAGCCAGTTACCTCTTAGGTGCTATTGAAAAACTGCCAGTATTTAGAATACCAGTGTCCGAAAGTAGTAAAATAGGTTACAACATTCCTATTGATAATTTAGAAATAGCTGATTATAATGGCCGCCTTTCCTGTGTGTCTGTAACGGTCTTTCGGTCTGCGAACACGATGTTTTATTATAGGCATATTTAAGAACGTTACGTTTACAAACATTGTGAGAAAAGGCCCAATTTCTTCATCAAAGTAATAACATTAAAAGTTTATTACACGTTAACTATCCTGCAAATTGTTAGAAACTTTGGCGAACTTCTAATATGTCCAAAAAAGAGAGATATCCCGAGATATGAGAAAGATATCCTGAGTAAAAACACTATAGAGTTAAATTGAAATGCAAAAAAGTATTCGTGCAAATTAAAATCTGTAAGTTATAAATATTCAATCAGGAAATATTTATTCTCTTGTTTATAATGTAAACACTTCACAGTCAACTATTATTTGAATGATAAGAATTCTCTTCAGGTTATTTTTAAAATTTAATATGTAGCATCTGAACACGTGCCTATATAAATGTGAAAGAGTGGAATTGGTTTACACACACATTTAGGGATAACGATTTTAATAAATATAACATTCAGTCCTACGCCTTAATTTTTGCTATAATTCATATAATATTTAGGTACTTATCAAGATGTATCTAATCTTTGAATATATTCAAGACTTGGTTTTATTACAATTTATTTTATTTGCTTTTATTTAGGAGCGAAAGTGACTACATTTAGTTTGAACCATTGAATTTTGAAATATAGAAACAATTTTATAATCTACTCAAAGCTCGAGTTGATTAACACTCACATTCTAAAACAAATCGAAAACTTAATAAAGCACAGACTATATTAATACAATTTGGGTGACATAAAAGGTGCATACAACTTAAAATATATAACTTAAATAACTATGCTAAAAGTGTAAAAATGGTTACCAGATTCAAAAATGTATAAGTAATTTAAGATAAATCCGGGATTGTTTATAAAATAAAGTATTAATTGAATTCTTGGGTGTTTTTTTTTTTCATTAAAAAGATGTGTTACGTGTTTAAACTTTTGAATATTAAATTAACCTTTACAGGTTAAGTTAAAATTCAAAACGAAAAATCTTTGAAGTGTATTTGTTACTATGATAGAAAAAATATGTTAATTAATTTAGTAGAAATTAAATTAACTATTATTTATTGATGATGCTTGCTGAAAACCTCAAACGGTTATTGGTAGTTATGTTTTTAAGAGCAGAAGGCTTTTTTTTGTTCAGACACCTGTCAGTATCCTTAATAAAAAACAGTGCATTCTTCATGTAATGGCGGGCCGCATAAAAGACTTTGTTTGGATTCCAATTGAAATAGATGTTTTCTAAACTAGTACAGAACTAGCAGTAGTTATGTTTTATTAGCTAATAGATTTTTCAGTCACACGCCGATTAATCCTGGCAAAAATAGATAATATAATTTTTTTATTTTCTCATTACAATTGTGTATACACCATCGTGGCCTAATCTAGTCGTAATTTAAGTAGTAAAATAATACATTCGTGAGCTACTGGTGCCCGAGAAAGGTATAGGGATATCTGTGTTTTGGGTCGCAAGATTCCCAATACTAAACGGCAAACTTAGTGGTAGCTCACACAGAGTGTGATTAGTTAAATAATATGAAAATAAAAATTAGAAGAAAATATACATTTAGTTGTGTGTCCGTGTAAGTTCGGGTAAGACTAAGTGTTTCCGTGCCAGAAACGTTTTGTTAAATATTATATGCTTACATATTTGAGTGGTATATTCTACTATGTTCACCCAGGTAAACAAAGGCGTCATTTTTTATTCATCTTGTGTACTTTTATCACCCACATAAAACATGATTGTAAAAACTCAAATTTCAAACCATTTAAATGACATAGATCAGAAGATTAGTATCAGTAAGTAAGTAAGTAAGTATAGTCAAGAGTTTTAAGCCATTTAAATACAGATAGTTTACACTCTGTAATACGCATTATTCTCTGATAATAAAGCTACCTAGGTTTATTATCAGAGAAGTGTTTACTTTATTATATAGATAACTAGGTACTCAACAAGAAACTATTGGAACTTAGTATTTTTTTTATATGTTTGTTTATGTTTTATGTTTTTATATGTCAGTGGTTGGATGGCAAAGGCTTAGTTCAGCATTTACTTTGAGTAGGTACCTACATTTTTCTGAGCTCTCTTCACCTTTAGCAGCAGTGCCTATCTATTTCAACTGTGCAAGCAATTTTATCGGAAAGTATTGCTAATAATTTTTGATTTAGGTCTAAAGAACCACATGTACTTTATAATATCAGGCCTTTTCTTACGGGGTTCACTCGAGGGCCTGCCAGTAATACTCCATTGAGTCAAGACGGGCTTTAAATTTACTTTCATCACACCAACAGCCTTTAATAATTCACTGTTGAACATAGGCCTCTTCTTAGAAAGGAGGTTTTTGTCTACTATACCACGCTGACAAGACGGGTTGGTATTAAGTTTTCCTTCTCTTTGTAAAACTGTTGTCCTGCTTAGTTTACTCCCTTTGTCGGCTCTTACGACACCCACGGAATGAATACGGGTGTTGCCACTCCGTAGTCTAAATCCCTCACCACAATGGATGAAATTACATTACAAGGTCCCTTTACATGGTAACGCGCGTCATGTGATTTTTCGATTATTGTGAAACGTTATTTCAAGAGACTTTCAGCGTATTTTGTGTACTTACGGGTATTAAGGCTATTAGAGCGGAAATGATTTGCGAAACTTACGTTTCATTGAGAGGTGTGTCTCCTGTAGGGCTACCATTGTCTAGAATGGTACAGGATATTTCTATTTTAAACTTTTATTGTGTAAGAGCTT